TCAGGTCAATTGAGCAGCCCTCCCACCAGTCAGCAGGGTTGCAGTGGGGTGGCAGGTGCCCGCTCCGAAGACCCATTGTCACTCAGCCTGGAGGTAGCATCATTAGCGCAGCAGGGGAATTAACAGTCCACAGACAGTAATTTATCTCCTGGGGGGCTGGAGGGAGATGGGAAGCTGAGGCAAAGCGTTTTCCTTTTAAACCAGGGCCATTCTGAAATATTTTGTTCAGAGAGGGAGAGCAACACAGCCATTCAGGTTTTCTACAGGCTGCATTTATCACTGAAATGGTTAGCTCCATCTGCAACTTGAAGCCTTCACATCTTGCCTGCTCCCATCCATTGGGGCTCAAGCCCATAAATCACTTCCTAAGCAGGCTGAATAGGGTGCAAAGCAGGGATGCTGCAGCTGCTTCTCCAGTGGCAAATAGCTTCCTGATATTATCTTAATGCTTTGTACCCCAGAGACCCCTGGGCTTCCTAAATCATCACTTGACACATTGTGGCTGCTGGCACACAGCTGACTCAGCAGACGGGGCCTCATAAAGTCCAAGGTTAAAAAATGGTTAAAGATATGGAGCATAATCAATCAGCAGCCAACATGCTTCCCTCACCCAGCTAAGGATGCCATTTTCAGCCAAACAAAACAAGGATAAAACAAAAGACACACACACACACTCATACGCTACTCAATGCTCAGTGTGGCTTCCATCTCAGTCTTGATTATTCCCACAGCACAACTCTGACAAAAAGGATTCAGCGCCCCTTTTAAGGGGAAAATGCCACCCAGAGGGAATGATTGAGTGCTGAGCAGCAGTGGGAAGGGAGAGGGTGCTTAATTCTTCCTGTGCTCACCATTTCTCCACTCCAAATCACCTGCCCTTGAAGCAGCTTTTCCTGTTAAAAGAAAAAGGGAAGAATTATTTGGGTCCCAGTACATACATCTGCATGCACCACTGAAGCATGGCCTTTAGGAATGTGTTTTTGCAGATGGCTAGAATGAGACAGGTGCTGGCATCAGGAATTTAAAAAAATGTCACCACCTTTGTTTAATGTTTACAAGAAGCTGCACTGGGATCGGCGACTTTCCCTATGTTTCCAATACCTGAGGAAGCGTCTCCATGTAGGACCGTAACTCAGCAGCAGGACACCTGCTTCGCATGCAGACTGTCCTTGGCTCAGTCCCTGGGGAGCCATTGCCAGTCTGTGCCAGCATGGCTATCACTGCTGTTGTTCGCGGCATTGCATTTATATCCTGCCCTTTTTCGTCCAGTGAGAAAGAAACACAAGGCAGCTTTCGTAGTCCAGCTCACCGAGGTCCCCAGTCCAACACTCCAACTGCTGCCCCACACTGGGTCTCAGTATTGGGTGGATGGACCAATGGTCTGGTGCAGTGTGAGGCAGCTTCCTGTATTCCGCCAGCTGTCCAAGCCATGAGTGCTCCTTGCTCTATGCCCATACTGGAGCTTGGCTATTTGTACTGCAACCTGAACCTCTGTCATACCGTTAGGGTGAGAAAGCATGCCCTGCCTCCAGCAGCTGTAAAGCACTCCTCCCTCCATGGGTTAAGGCCTAGGACAAGAATCTTTCCTTCGATTTATGGGTCTCACCTCTCCCGTCACGTCTGGCCATACCGCTAGACAGAGTGAGGTGACTGCCTCGGGTTACAGAAGCTGGGGCATGAGGAATGGCTGCAAGCCTTGGAAGACTGGGATGGCTGTGCAGGCCACCTTGATATCCCCAGGTGTGGTAAAGGCAGCAAGCACTGATGTAAAATCCAGCTGTCAGTCTGGTCTGCTTCAGTATATGGCATGGTGGGTTCGGGGGACATCTTGCCCTTTGCCTTGGGTGAAATGTCTTGGACTGTCTCCTGCCATCCCTTACGGTCCCAACCAGTGAGCAGTCGTGACCTTAAACCAAGGGACTATGTAAATACTAACCTACCAACAGGATGCCCCTGCCCTTGCCTCTAGGATACAAGAAAACATGCTTGGCCATAGCTGGCCCTTCTTGACTTTCAGTACAGCGACTCACAGGTGCCTGGGATAAGCCTACTATGAAGGGCCGAAGCCTTGCAAAGAGGCTGGGAGGCACCTGGCAAGGCCCTTTGTAGCCTCACCACAAGTCTTATTTCCAGATTTCAAGCTATGCCCCTTCCCTCAGCATCACAAAGGACTTTGCTGCGCTTATCATGCAACCTCACCTAAAGAAGCAGGCAGGAAGTTTTCCCCCCACCTTCATGCACAGCTTTGATCCCTCATGATGCACACAAATAACATAAACAAAAGTAGATGTATCGACCATACAGCTAAACAGATTGTTCTATTGAAAGTATCGCATAAAGTATCTTCATTCTTCTTCCATTGCTTATGTGTGAGTAGATTGCCCTATGGATCCTTCTTACACTTCCACTGTACCTTACTTAACGGACATATGCATCTGCCATCATTAGTTTGCAAGAGGAAAAATGCCACCTGGATCTGCACAGCATGTTCTGTTGCTCAGAAAGGTCGTTCTGCCACCCCAAACAGCAACCCAGGGGTGCCACATGCCATATTTAAGCCGGCCATCACACATGCCAAGCAGCTTGAGGCCACTTTCCCATGGTGCTGTAGTGTCATGTGTGACTAGCATAATCTTGTGGGCTTTGCCTACCGAAAGGCAGAGGACCAAGTGTTCAGCTCTGCCCATCCAGTTGCACTCTGTAGCTCGGTATGTGCGTGGGCTTATGGGAGCCAAAATCCAGGAGGAGTTCAGAGCGATTCTTGAAGATGCTTGAGGAATGGCTGTGGTTGTGAAGGTGGAGAGAAGCTGCGGGATGCTCCCACCAGCGTTCACCGTACAATACCTAAGGGGACTCTCCTAGATCACGGCTCCAGAAAACCTATTTCTAGCTTAGCTTCCCTGTGTTGACATTAGCTGCCCTACTCAACCATTGTTTGTGCAGGCATGCACATATGTGTGTTTAATCAGAAGCAAGCAGAAAACTCTATCTTCATGGAGCCTGTTGCCTTTTAGAATGAATGAAAAAATATACATACAAAAGGCCAAGTCTGTATGCTTCAGATTAATACAAACAGAAAATAAGGACCTGGAAAATACTTTTCTGCTTTGGGGAGAAAATGAAATATTTCTAATTAAACATGGGAAATACAGCAACAAGACGCTCAGCACACATTCATCCTAATCAATTCTGGCTCATTTCCAAGGCAAGACTGAAATACATCCCAGCTATCGTCTATTTGTAAGCAACACCTATTACCAACTAAATTTCATGAGACATATCCAGGCAAATAAATTACAGGACTGTAGCCAATGGCATGGCTATGAGAACTTTCTAGGGTACTTGAAATGCTCGATGCAGCATAGATAAAACATAATTAAAATTAAAACTTAAAAACATACAAAACTGCTGAAAACAGTCAGTGCACCAGAGAAATTAGCTAAATCTAAAAGCTGAAATAAAAACACTCTGCAACTTTGCAGAAAGTGAAGAAGAAGAATGCCTCCTCTCCTCCATACAGAGAGCTTCCCAGAACCTGTAACTATGTTCATCTTCCAGTAAAGGTTCCTTGTTATTCCTATTCTAATCCGGCATAAAGAAGGCATGCTGAGCAGGGCCTGATTTTCTAACTGCAGCTGCTAAGGGACAGATATTAGGAGATGCCTGTGGTTTGTGGATCCAAGACCATGTAGGGTTTTAAAGGTAAAAATTAGCCTCTTATAATGGGCCTGGAAGCAATTACAACATAATGGACTCAGTATAATGACAATTACGTAAGGGACAGCATCCTCGGGTTTTCACATATCTGAAATGCTCAGTAATTTCTGTTTATATTTACAATGAATACAGCAGCCATTTTTCAGGTGAAACATATCCAAGAAGGGACTGCATTGTACATGAGATATGCATTGCACTAGAACACACAGGCTCATGTCACATATTACATCCCTCCTATTTTATACTGGTATCAGACACCTACCTGCATTGTATACTTGTTTGTTGCATTCACAATTTGTGCATGTTCAAGCAGGGCTCTCTCTCTCTCTCTCTCTCTCTCTCTCTCTCTCTCTCTCTCTCTCTCACACACACACACACACACACACACACACACGTACGTGCATTTTAAGTGTAAGATTATGTAGTGGTGTAGAGTGAATTCTCTCCATCCTTCTTCTCCCAGATATGCTCCAGTTGATCAGAGGCCCATTCAGAGCAGATTGGTGACATGTGAGTGGCCGTGCCAGCTAAGAAAGATGAAAGTTGCAGTCCACCATATTTGGAACGTCAGGTTATGGAAAAGCAAAACAATTCCTTCCATGGTATCTGCCCACACACATTCTACTCTCATCTCCATTCACAGGTTTGGACCCTTTTCTGCAATGCTTCAAAGACCTATGAAAACTTTTCAGTCAGAGATGGCAGTGAGACATCAAAAAAGTATGTATCTGCCATGGGCAATGATGCCTCTATCATGCCACTTGCAACTTTCTTAAACATTATTGTCTATCTTCATTCTTGAGAGGAAGAAATGATCTTTCCTCAAACCATCTAGCTGTGCCAGATGGGAAGCTGCAAGGGTGTGGGTTTGTGCATCCACAAATAAGGGGGAGAGGTGGAGAAGCACTCACCTGAGTGGAGTTCAGAGATAACAGGCAAGGTGTGTCCACCCAGTGGCAAGGCTTTTGACATGGGAGCAGGTTTCAACAGTCAGAAAGCTGGGGGCAGAGGCAAGCTCATTCCATGTGGGTTCAATGTCAAGATAGGAAAGTGAGTGCAGAATACTTCCATTCTAAGGGAGATTCCAGTTGCCCGGAGGCCAGATCTTAGGATTTTTACTAAATTTGTCTTCTGACTCCAGTAGAGGTCTATAACAAGCCCCTGCCCTCCATCCAACAAATTTTCTGGCATGAATTTCTGTCTTGCTCACTGCTTAAAGCTCTTGTTTCTTCAAACCTAGGATTCTCCTGAATTGACTCAGCAATTAGCAAAGCCTGGCCAAGAACAATACAGTGCTGTTTATTATCTTTAATACAGTGATGTGCACTTCTCAACAATGGACAGTGCAGGGAAATAAGGTTGCCAGGGTTCCCCATCCCCTACTGTACCTTTTAAAGCTGCATGGCAAGCAGAAACCCAAAGATAAAATATTTCCCAGCATACACTTGCAGAGATGCTCCAAAATGCCAAATTTCATTGAACCAAAGAAGGAGAGCCTCTAGCACCACTGCCAAAATTGACAGAAGTAAAAAACAAATGACTCCACAATAAACATTGAAAAATATTTTTGTTTGCACTAATAACAAAATAAAAACATCAGCCACTCGGCTACCAAACATGGTATACTGATTAGTTGGACCACCAAAGTGCTACAGCAAGGAGGTAGAATATATTGGCATTCTTTAGCCTGAAGGTTGAGACTTTCTCCTCAAGTCTTAGAAGACACTGATTTGCCCACAATGGGATATTGGTTCAGGCTCTGTAACCTATTCTCCCCACTACAGGCCTGGTGCAATACCATTCAACCTACAAAGACAAAATGAAAATGAGGATTGGATTAGAAGGGAAGGAGAAGGGATTGCAGCTAATTACTGAAAGTCTATATATTGCAGACTGTGAGAACAGCATTTTCTGCCATGCATAGTGCTGTCTCTGTCAGGCATAACTCTACATTCTGTGCTGCCAAGATATTTTCAAGCCTCTTACCGCTGGATGATGCTGTTGTTGAGCTGCAGGTTGTGAGCCACTATTTTCATCTGGTCTTGAAGCTCTTGCATCCTGTCCAAGACACAAAAGGGGCCTTTTATATTCTCATACTTCTAGAGCTTTTTCTGGCCCAGAAACAACAGGGGAAGTCAAGCATAGACTTGTACAGGCACTGAGATCTCTGACTAGCCTGCTCACCTGTCAGTGGGTCTCGCATGATCTCCAGATCAGTGTCTCCTTCACTTTCCCTGAGCAAAGTTGCTCTCACATCCCAGCCTGGGGCTGGAGTGGCAGAAGCTGTCTCAGGTAGCCCATTCTCAGGCCTATCAATCTTTGGCTCAACCAACCCTGAACAGTAAGCTGATTCCACGGCATATGTCACCGCATCATCATTCAGACTGTTTTGGAAACTTCGAAATTTGCTTTTTTTCATTCAGTATGAAAGACCAGTGCCTCATTGTTGTATCGTATGATAATATAAGGCCAGTATATATAAAGGGTGGGGGGTGAATGTAAGCCTGCATGTAAAATAGTGAGTGGTCTATCTGGAATATGAGGAATGAATGAAATTATTTCTATATGGTTTAAAGACAGTTTGTCATATATTATTATTTGGTAAATGAAATATATTTTAACTACAATCCCATTATCTGCATTTCCTGGCAATTTTCTAGCTAACTTTCTCTTGTTCAAACAATTAAGGGTGCCACCTAAACGAATTCTCTCCCATTGACAATCTCTTCTCTCTCAGGAGGTTTGCTGAATAACAATTATAATAACTACACAGTGACAAAGCTGCCGATCAGAGCACAGAATGTACTTTTCTATTTTCTCAAGGAGTTTCCTCCTTCCTCTTTCCTTCGCCTTTATGTGCCTCAAGCCACTGATGACACACTTGTTTCGGTTTTGCATTCACATCTACTGCACTTGTGTGAAATCAGAAAAGGCAATATTGCCTTCTCACAAAGAAAATAATATTGACTGTGTCATTCAGTGGCAGTGAAAAGATCAATGTTTAAAACCACATTTTGTTTCATCACTTAAGAAAATGTAAGTGGTCAATGTTTCCTCCTCAGAATATTTTGAAATCTAACCTTTCAAGTTATCAAATGTGTTATGAAGGCCTTAGAAACAAAACCTTAACATTATCAAATCTTGAAAAACTTGACATTAATTAAAACTGTGAACATGGACTTAGTTAAAACAAATTCTTGGGTCAACAAAATAATTAGTATACTGCTTATTCTTTTCTGCCTACAGCTGCCATCCTTTGTTAATTCTTAATTTCCAGGCTCAGTCTCAGATCAGCATCCCTGCAGAAAGCATTCTGACCGGCAGCTGCAAAATGTGACATCCCTCACAGTGTGTTTTGAGCCATCACTTAATGTCATGGAGCACAGGACAAGAAAACTCATTAAGCAATGGCCCCAGGTATCTCAGAGAGTGGTGCTGGGAAGGTGGAACTGAAGGCATCAGTGCCTATGGTGGATATAAACAGCAGGAAATATGAACTTGCAGGCCTGCTTCATCCATTCTGACAAGATGCTATATCTCTATCAAGGGATGTATGGGAATTTTGTTTAAGTTCATTCACAAACCATCTAAAAATCTAATGTTCATGATCCCAAACACAAAGAGTAGATTTTTCCTTTCTGGCAATGATTAAAAATTCATGCAAATTGTGATGGGGATTGAAAAACATAGGTAAAGGGGAAATGGGTACTTTTGAAAATTATGCATAGAAATGTGCAGTTTTCTCATTCAAATCAAAAATGTTGCATTTAATTGGAAAACTGCATCCCATTCAAAATGCAACATTTCTCATTTGAATGAGATGAAAATTAGATTGAAAATTAAAGTGAGGTAAAATGAGCTTAAAAGTGCAACTTGGTGACTATTTGCAAGCTCAAAAATCACTCATCTTCCATTATTTTCAGAACAGTTAGCCTTTGGAGAACTACATGCTAAGCTTTCTTATGCTAAGAAACTAGGATATATTTTTAACAGTACAGATTCTAATTAATTGTTAATTAGTATCTACTTTAGAATCTGCAAAGTTTACTGTTTTTTCTTCCAATGGAAAAGATAAACAAGATGTTACTTGTAGACCTCCCTAATGGACTATGGACATAATCTATCTTGATTTCAGCAAAGCTTTTGACAGAGTGCCCCATGATCTCCTGATTAACCAGCTAGCAAAATGCAGGCTAGATGGAAAACTATCAGTGGATCCACAGTTGGCTGCAGAATCGGACTCAAAGAGTTCTCATCAGTGGCACCTTCCCAGACTGGGGAGACTTAACAAGTGGGGTACTGCAGCATTCAGTCCTGGGCCTACTGCTCTTCAACATGTTTATTCATGATTTGGATGAGGAAGTGCAGGAAATGATTATCAGATTTGTTGATGGCACAAAACTGGGTGGGAGAGCTAATACACTGGAGGACAGAAACAAGATTCAAGGTGATCTTGATAGGTTGCAGTGCTGGCCTGAAAACAACAGAATGAAATTCAGTAGGGGCAAATGACAAATTCTACACCTAGGGAAAGAGAACCAAATGCACAGTTACCAGATGGGAGATATTTGGTTCAACAATACTACAAATGATGAGGGCTTAGAATATAGATCACAGGTTGAATGTAAGTCAACAATGTGGTATGGCTGCAAAAAAAGCTAATGCTATATTGGGCTAATTAATTGCCGTATACCTTCCAAATCACATGAGGTACTGTTTCCCCTGTATTCAGCACTAGTTAGGCCATCTGGAGTACTGTGTCCAGTCCTGGGCACCACAGTTTAAGAAAGATGCAAGCAATCTGGAAAGGGTTCAGAGGAGGGCAACAAGAATGATTCCAGGGACTGGAAACAAAGCCCTGTGAGGAGAGATTGAAAGAACTGGGCATGTTTAGCCTCGAGAAGAGAAAACTGAGGGGAGATATGATAGCACTCTTCAAGTAGTTCAAGAACAAATAAGAATGTAACAAAGAAGAATGCCAAGATCTCTTCTCGATCATCCCAGCATGCAGGATGCAGAATAATGGGCTCAAGTTACAGGAAGCTAGACATCAGGAAAAAAATCCTGACTGTTAGAGCAGTAGAACAATGGAATCAATAACCTAGGGAGGTTCTGGGCTTTCCCACACTAGAGGAATTCAAGATGCAACTGGACAGCCATTTACTGTTTAACTTGGGTCCTGAACTGAGCAGGGGGTTGGGCCCAATGGCTTTCTAGCCCCTTCCAACTCTACTGTTCTATGATTCTTCACCATGGAGATATTATTACATTGATACATTACATGTGTATCCTACTTTTCCTCTTGCAAGGAACTCAAGGTGGCTTAACAAGGTTCTCCTCCTAACAACAACAACCCTGTGAAGCTGCATAGTCTGAGACTCCATGACTGGCCCAAAGACTGGCCTAAAATATAGCACATGAGATCACACAGAGCAGTCACATGACATGCACAACTGTCTGGTGGTGGGCACCACAAAATACTGCACGTCACTTGCTGCTCAACCTCAATTATTGCAATGGTTCAAGGAGGAGAGCAACCCACTTCTACCCAACCATTATATCACTTGACAGTTGTATCGATGCACATACCCAAACACCATATCTTGGTGTTTCTGGTTTACGTAAAGCTGTCTGGGTGCAGAAGATGTCATTTTGCATTGAAGAATTCTCTGAGGTAGCTCATCCAAAGCCTGCCAAGAAAATGCAAGAGCACACACTTCACTAGAGGAATGCCAGGCAATTCTGTGCTTAGTACTTGAAATTATTTAAAGTGAAGTGTCTTTATTCAAGTTTAGTAATTGAAATTATTGAAAGCTAAGTGGTTTTTCTTCCTGTTCTGGGAAATCACAACCTAAAAGAAAAACCTACCAAAAAGTAGAACTAAGTAAATAGAATATTATTTTCATATACAAGTCAAAGGTGCACTCTATTTGGAATATGTGGCCTTCAAAAAACATCACACCTATTACTCCTTTTCTGTTTTGTAACTTGGATTTAGGCAACTGTGTTATTCAAGCAGTACCTGCAATTTATCCTTTCCTTGCTTTGTCATTGCAAGTATTCAACACATGATGACTACTTAATTGAGAGTCCTTTTCTCACATGACTGGTGGGACTCCCTGAGCTGTCTGAATCCATAATTAAGTTATCTGCTCCTGCCAGCCAAAAAGATCTTTGTGTTGCAGGAGTATCCCACAGAAGTCAACACAGAAGATCTGAAGGCTGCTCATTTCTGAGGTAGCATTAGGAGAAAGAAAAGAGAAATATTAGTCTCAGGAAGTCCTCTGCTCTTCCACAGACCACTCTTTGGGATGGTCCATGAACGAGCAGCCTGACCTCAAGAGAGAGACTCAGAAAGAAGAATCCTCTAATTCCAGATTATAACTTCATGTTTTAGCCTTGTGCAATTTGTTTTACATTTTTGCTTTCTGACTATGCATTCTGACATTGTGGAGGCAAAATCAGCTGGTTTTGGTGATGGAGAATGGAGACTCAGTGTTGATTTGAGCAACTGGGGCATTTAAATATAACTGAGGTACAGATATACAGTAAATTAGAACTATAATAATTGGCAATAATCATACATAATATGAAGTTGCTGTGCTTTATGCAACAACTTGCACAAGAAAAGGTTACTATACTTTATAAAGACAGTTCTGGCATTCAGACATCTCTGTGCTGCACATAGTTAAAGATTTGTTCAACTTCTTCAAGTTCTTCTTCATCTCAAATGTCTTCCTGGAGCAATAAGAAGAAAATTATATTCAAATAGTTATCTATTTAATTTCTTCTGTGCGGTATTTTGCATTAAGGCTGTTCTAAAATGGAAATGCTTAAGTGCTCAGCTACAAGGACTCATCAGGCATACAGAGCTGGCTGAATGGCCAAGTTCTGCAACATTAATGGAGCTCTACACAAAGAATACTTCCCCTACACTGTCCTCATTATGAAGCTTAGGTGGAAACATTTCTATCTTATCTTAGCACATACGGTCACTCACTATCGAAAAGAAAAGAAAAAAGAAGCAAAAAAGAAAAGTCTCTATTCTTTACTTTAAGGCTTTGTAAACCTTTTGTGATGGGGGCCCTCATAGCAATATATAATAAAAATAAATATAATAACAGTACAAAACACACAAAGGAGGAATGCATTTCATATGATACTTCTCTGTGCTTTTGCATATTGACAAAGGAGTTAACTGGGAGTTTGTTAACTAAAAGGAAGAATGAGAATTCAGTAAACACACATACATGCAAACAAACTGATGGTCAATGCTTAATAGGGAACAGCTAATCAAGTCATCCAACGTATGCATGTAACTTGTTCACCGTTTATAAAGACTCTTGCAAGACTACTTATTTGCTTAGAATCTTTGTAACCCTTAGATGTAAATGGTTAAATACTGGAAACCAGTATAAAACCTATACAAATTCCAAGAGCAAGTGTTAATTACTGTGCTAACTCTATAAACTTGGATCTGATTATTAATTCAATAAGGGTCTGAGTCGCAAAATAAAGAACAACCACCCAGGGCTTGATCTAAGCGCTATGATTTCAACAGGAAGGTTTTGTGCACATGTTTAACGCCCATTGAAATCAACCTGAATTAATTTGCATATCTTTGTTAAAATCATGTTCATAATTACTGGACAGATCACAGTTTATTTAAATAGGCAGCTGGATATCAACCTTCCAGTCATGCTCCCTGCTTGAAGCCAATGAAGGGGTAATCTGCAGCATGACTATATATTTAAATAATAATATCCCACATTTCCACTGCTAGTCTAGCCCAAAGTGAATAATGATAAAATAGAATAATACTATTATAAATGAAGCATTAAAACTAATCAAATGAATCAATAAATGCAAATCAATAAGGAGAACAAAACAGATTAAGGCTGAATTCAGCTTAGACTCCAAAGGCCTGTCTGAATAAAAATGTTTTTGTCTGATAATGGAAGGAAAACAGAGATGGCGCCTAGCCCATCTTGGAAAGGGTTTTCGGAACCTAGGAACAGCCTGTCAAGAAGGTCCTCTCTCATCTTCCTGCCAGATGTGCCTCTAGCAGGGGTGAGGCCGTGGGAAGGGCCAAAATACAGAAGACCAGTTATGTTTTGTGATGTGATGATTCAGATGTGCAACTGATTCTTGCATCTACTTTCTGTACTGTGACTTCTTAATTTGATTGTAACTCCTAAATTTTGACAGAACCAATTCAAGCTTGACAGCTTATGTCCCCACAAGCAAAGATTAATAATGATGAGTATATCAGGAACTCTTAAGCCCATGGCAACCCAACAGAAAAAGATGCTGTGCTTTAAAAGCATCTTGCAATTATACAACCCAGTTGTGGCTGCAGCTACTTCCTTAAGTGACTGCACTTTTCTTCAATGTAATAAGTCAGTGCATGGTTCTCCATCACCACTGGGTAATTTGCTCTTTGTGTTATTCCCCAAACACCATTTAACATAAAATCATTCTTTCTAAGTGCTGCTCTTCATCTTAATAATGGCTTCATTCCAATATGAGAAACTTGCTCAATGCTGAAAACAAAGAAGTCCATCAATATTACAGCTCAGAGGCTAGGAAGATTTGCAGTGTACAAACTAGCGAAAAGGGTAGCAATAGAAACTCAACAGAATTCCTTTATTAATAATGTCTTGACAATCCTGCCATGCACCATATCATGAAAGGAAAAATACACTTTCATTCCTTGTTAATTCCAAGATTTCAGAAATGCATTAGATTCTAATAAAAATATATATACTACTGAGTCTGATGATGAATCCCAAAACTTGACAGAGAGCTTCAAAGAAGCACTGACTCTATAACAGAAAAGGAATGGTGCTAACAAGCACCATTTCATCTCATTTCATCCTGATGCTATCACCTTGGCTCAGAAATTTCCCTGCTGTCTAGAAATAGTAGCACAAATCTAATTCCCTGTCTGTTCACATAATGCATTATAACTTTTCAGGATGACTATATAAGTTTTATAAATATAATTAAATAAACATTAATTACATAAATCCTGCCCAGAAGTCACATAATTACCTCATTCTAGTTCCATGTCCTGAGAGAGCAGCCTGGTAGTGCTGCACACAGTTCTCATGGAAAACAGAAAGAACCTTTTTCGCCAAATGTCCTAAATTCACCCTAAAAATGAAACAAAATAAAATGTGCATTATTTCACCAGCTTTTGTTATTATATAAGGTTTCCTAAGGGAATCTACATAACAAGAAAGGCAGAAGTGGGAGTTTTATAAAAGTAATGACATTTTGTTCAGTGTACACATTTTTTTTACATTTTTGCCTGAAATTAATGCCTACTGGTTTTAAAGAGAATCATACGCCATTAACCAAAGCCTGACTCTGCCCTACCAAAAATCAATAGGATATTTGCCAAATAACTTAGCTCAGATGGCTAGCACCACCATCCTGAATAGAGAAAAATGACATGCTAAAGCATTTTTTCACATCCAGAAGCCAGGCTACAGTTGCTAACATTTGGAAGACATTTGCTTTCAATGGACAGGTTTAGTTCATAAATGTATTTAGAATGACCAACACCTTGTTCTTTTCTCCAGTCTGCTGTCTCCTGAATTAGTCCCAATCCATGTTGCCCAGGTGGCCTCACAGACACCAAAATCTGCTTCCATATGACTGGACTACAAAATGCGGGAGTAATGCCAAGGTAGCTTGAATTGCGCAGTTCCTTCCTGTCCTAACAGCGGTACCCACAGTGGAGAAGGGGTCCTTGTGTGAAAGCACCCATGTAATTTGGGCTACCAGTGCATGCATACGTGTCCTTCACTTGCTGTACACTTGGTGCTTGGCAACTGATTGAGACCTAATTGAAAAGCATTAGCCTTTGAATGATGCAAGATGATATTTTATTTATGTCTATTTCTTATTTATGATACAAAAGTACTATCCATTGTGTTATATCTGCAAAACCTCATTTTAAATATGCAAGTTATCCCTTGATGTTACAAGTGATGTTATCAAGTGATGAATATTCATCAGTGAACCAGCTCCAGGTAATAGATTCTTGCATACTTTACCACTTGAAGTTGAAGAGCTGACCATACAAAAACAGCTTATATGAGAGTGTAAGAATCTTAGCCTCTAAACTTTGGGGCTATTATATAGTTTTATCCTACTTTTTAGAGAAAACGGTTTCTCTGTCTCTGACTCACGGCAATTAAAATTCAATATACTATGTTGCTTGGCAGAAGCTATACATTACTCCTTCCCATCTTCTAGATCTGGTAGACCACAAATTTCCCATTGGGGTGGCCTGTTGCACTTGACCCTTATACTTACTTATCCAGCTTGTGGATTTGCTGTTCATTGTAGCCCAAGCCTAGAAAGAAAAGGAAACATATTAATAGGATTTCCCAAGAAACAACACTGGGGCTTGGCAAATTCACAAATTCATAGGGTACAGAGACTGTCACACATCAAGTGTTTTGTGAGAAGGCCCAAAAGGAAGCAGAGTGGTACTATACAACAATGAATTCCTCCAATTCATTGGGCAGAGGGAACTTCTTGGGTAGCCATGCCTGTTGCCTTTGTTGCAATGGAGCAGCAAACACAACACACACCTTAATGGCTAAGAGATGTAGGTATAGCATAAGATTAGGTGGACTAGTGCCCATTCATTAAATGCCATACAAACTCCTAAAGACACAACCCTCACTTAATTTTCTTTCAGAATCCAATGTTTGGAAGACCATAGGTTTCCCGAACCATATAATGCAATGTTGTAACCCTGCAGAGATTTCAAACTGTAACTCCCAGCAGCTCCAGCCAGCTGGAAAGAGATGATGGGAGGTACAATCCAACAGCATCCAGAAAGGTCAACTATTTGCCATCCATGTTGTAATAGGCATGTCATGCAAGACTGGGAAATGGGGGGAGACCCATGTGTAAGTGGGTTGAGCTCCTTGGAAAAATGGCAAGAGGGAAGGAAACAGAGCAGTGCTGTCTGATTGTAGTTTGGGTGCCAATGGAGTTTTTAGAATATAGTGGTATTTCTTTCAGGTAGTATAAAACCTCTGAAAACCAGCCTTCCAGCGGAGAAGCACAGCCAGGAAAAGCATCATTTGTACAATTACTAATACACTGTATAATCCCAGGCCAGTTAAATATGATATCTACCTTGTATCATAAGCAAATCATTGATCCAGAGTGGAAATCAGATTTGATGGGCTCCTTTTATGTCAGAGAGGCTTACCTAGCTGGAACAATGGCAGCCAATGGCAGCACCATCCACTGCACCAGGTAGATGGGGGCAACTTTTTTAATTTCTCCAGATACCCCAGAATGACAGTATGTTGGGGTTATTGTGGGAAAAATATAAATGATGTCCATGTTTTCATGTTTTCAGTGGGTTTATTCAAAACATACATAAGTCTGAATCCAATCATAGTCTTCTTCTGGGTTCTGCCACTGATCATTCCACCATTTTGCACCATTTTGAAAGGATCCCAGATATACAAAAAACAAAACGAGGCCTAAAACATTCACAGCAAAGGGTAAAACAAAAATCATTGGCACTTCTGTCAGAAACAGTACTGTCACGTCTCCTGTGCCTGCACCAGCATTTAGCAAGTATCAGCACATGTACACAAAGCAGCCTCAAGTCCCGCACTTTTCAGATTGGACAGAGCAGCCCTGAAATTGGCTATCACTCCACAAACTCTTTTCTGCCCAGGTGCTGCTAAACAGACAACGTGAGCCCCAAAGAATAGTAATGCTCACCCAGCGTTTTGTTCATTTCATGGTAGTGCTGCTAAGAAGCCTAGTTGGTGCTGTTTCAGCATTTCGAGGGTTTAATCTAATAAGAGCCTTTAAAAGATGTAGCTGACCTGGTAGAAGTTAACAGATTTCTATGCAGACTAAGGATGAAACACTAGACCAAGGTCAATGGCAACTCACGCAGGCATTTCCGGACTTTCTTGAACTGGCTGTAGATGAGCTGCATCTTGTCAAGGCAAGCCTCCATCTTCTGGATGCTGAGAAAGGAGGTCAGAAATAGAAACAAGTGAACTAAACCAGTTAAACTATAGCATGGACTGGAAGCTGTGTCTCCTGTAACATGAAGCTCCCAGTGATGGTGACCTTGGAACGGTCCAGATACACATCTCAGCAGTACTCACATTTGATACCGGCTGTGCAAGGTTGCCAGATAGCTCCTGAGAGTCAAAGGAAGGAATAAACACATCCAAACACATGCCCTCACACACTCTTTTAACGTCGCTATCCCCTCCCTGTCTGTGATGCTTGCCATGGACACTGAATTGCTTATGAGCCTCACCCCTTTCTCAAGCACTGTGTACTGAAGGGCTTCAGAATGCAAGGCCAAGAAGTATCCCCTCATAGCTTGATAGAAGGCTTAATCTCAGCAAGTCTTCCACACAAGTCTTCTGTTTTACATATGAAGGCCAACAGGATGCCTACCTGCATGATGCTCCTGTATGTCAGCTAACCACCTACCTATGTCACAGGGCACTCCTTGTAACTCAGCCACCCATGTGACTGCACCACACCTCCAGGGACTTGATTTTAGGTAACACAGTCAAGTCTGTAGGCTGCCTACCTGTCATCTTTCCTTGTTACAACAGTGGAAAAGTTTATATTTTAAAGCTATTTAAAGCTGGCAGACATCCTTTGGCAAACCAATGCTAAGTGGGAAGTTGCTGCCAGAAACATCCTAGGGATATTATTTCTTCCCCGGCCTGCCTACATGACTGAACTCATTTATCCATCCTGGCCCTTAGATCTTGTCATTGGACTGTCTTGCTTGAAGGTATCTCCAGCTGACTGCCACTGACATTCTGACTCCTCATCACAATCCTTCCATGACTCAGTCACTTTTCTTTCTTTTCTGTCCATGCACTAAAAATAAATGACTCCTATCTGTCCACTTCACCTCTTGTCTCTCTAAGTTCCCTCCCTTCCCATATTTTTAATGCTGGCTGAGAAGTAGCGTTGGGACTGATGATGATGAACACACCATAAAAATAAGTGATGTAGGAAATTCAGCTTTGATTAAACTGCAGCCACTGAGGAAACAAACAGCAGGTTTCTGTGAGGAAAAGCCAGTGAGTCCCTGCCCTTGTTGATACTCTAAAGCTGTCCCTAGGGATCCATAATCCAAGGAAACGGCATCTTCTGCTCAGGTTTAGGTAATCACAGACTTTAGACCAGGAGGAAGCTGTTTGAACACGCACTTGTTCAATGGTAAGTAGCATAGTTCTTCTTCAGGTCAAGAAGCAATGGCAGTCCAGTCCACACAGAAAACAAGTTCCATATGATTGCCCATCCCTAAAGTCTATGATGGGAAATAATACTTGAAGTAAGCCACATCAATAGATAAGACAGAATGGTGTAGTGGTTAGAGTGTTGGGCTGGGACTCAAGAGATCTGGGTTCTAGCCCATATTCAGCCATAAAGGGCACTGGGCAACTTCAGACCAGTCACTCACTATCAGTCTAACCTACCTCACAGGGCTGCTATTATGAGGTAAAATGGAGGGGTGCAGGATTATGCAAACCACCCTTGGTTTCTTGCAGGGAAAAGCAGATATAAACTTTTAAATAAAATAAATAAAACTATCAACTTTATCTGCTGCTTATGATGCTTTGTAGTGATACTTGACTTTTGAGGCCCATTATTGTAACTTTCCTTTTTGTGAACTGCTTTGAATACTGGTCTGGGAGAAAAGATAAGGTATAAATATTTTAATGAATGAATGGACCTGGCATTGGATGGATTGGCATGGCCCCTAATACAGTGAAGTCTTCAAGCAAAATTCCACAGCTATCAGAATTGGACACAGAGTGTCCGCCACATCTCAGTGAAGAGTGAAGCCAGCCTTCCTGGTAACCCTGGACAGAGTCTCTTCTGGTTTTGCACTGGGTGGAGCAGTGGCTTCAGCACAGATGGATGAATAGACAGATATCAATCCCAGCCCAGCACTCTAACCATTACACCATACTGCTGCGACAAGGGAATGGCAGTCCCAAGAACTGGCCACAGCATTCTGGACCAGCGGAAGACACTGCAGCTTTTAGCACTGAACATTTCACTCTACCAACCTTCTATCTTCTTTCAACTGGCTCCATTTTTTCCCTACTTCAGATAAAATGCACCGTATTGTTGCTTGGTGTTCAGAGATACTGTGGGCATATCTGGAAATCTCTTCACTGACCTGGGCCGGGAAAGACAAAGATAAAGTGGGGAAAGGGTGAGTGCAAAGACTGGCCACCAAGATTAGTCTGCAGGGGGTTCTCCATCAAATAGGTATGCCTGATGAAAACATCTTGTTGTCATTTAAAATAAAGTTCATATTATTTATGTGTTGTTTTTAATTTTGCAGTAAAAACCAGTTGAGAAGGTTGACACTGAAAATAGGTCCAATTAAAATAGTGAAAACCACCAAGTCACAATAAAAATTAAATGGGGAAGGAGCACCTTGTTTACACTTCAATTCATTAAAAAAGAAGAGAAAAGAGGGTATTTTAAATAAAAAGTAAATATGGAAGGAATCTGTCCCTAATCTGTTTCTTTAGAGAAAAATGTTATTTGGAACGTGGAAAGAAGGCTGTAAGGATTTGTTCTGAGTCTAGAAGGTAAGGTTGCTCCCATCAAGCAGGTGACTGCACTGTCTTTCCTTCTCATGTACCTCATGGTTTGCCATCCATGACGTTTCCTATGCAGAGATAATGTATAAAATAATCCTCCACTGCTCTTGCACAGGACTTGATTAGAAGACTTAATCAGCAGATCTTGCTGCTCACACACATACATTCTTTATAGAAGCTTGTATAAGGGAGTCTTTAGATCAGGGATCCTGGACCTCTTTCATCCTGAGAGCCAGATTCCAGTTCAGAGAAGCTCTCAGGATCACATTCCAGTGGTGAGCTTGGCAGAAGGCAAAGGGGGTGCATCACAAAAGCAATCCTATGCCTGTTTAAACACAAAAACATTCTATAATGGAGGGAATTATAGGATGTTTTCTGTTTAGACATGAAAAGGATTGCTCCCAGACTTCTACCATCTGTTAAGTGTTAAAAGAGACATTTCAGAATGGGAAAGCCCTGCACAAAAACTGGGAAATAACCCAGCAATTGGCAACTGGGAGAAAGATCGTGTTCATTGGAGAATCTAATAAGGTTGCTGGTGAAATTGTTCTGAAGAACGAGGTTTGACAAGCCTACTTTAGGTAAAACCAACTTAAAATGAAAAGGTTTAATTCTCATAACAATTCTGAGCATGTATCAATCAGAAAATGGGTCACCCTTAACACACATGCATTAAGCAGTCATTCTATGATACCTAATTCTCCAAAACCACTCTGGCTCAGGTCAAATTCTACGATCATTTACTACAAAGAACTCTATTAACAGGTGCTCTCAAGAACAACTCACAGCTTGAAGCCTTGTTTTCAATTCAGCCATAGTTTTCATCTCTGGAATCTCACCTTCTGCAGCAATAGTCTCATACCTGTTAGGGCAAATGAACAAAAAAGAACAAGAGTTTTTAATCAAGCTGTTTTCAGAGGGGAGTCCCCAACTTTAGATGTGTAAAGTAACCAAATCAGAAAAAGCTATTCAATTTACACAAGAATTTCCCATGGATGCTCAGAAGTACTGTTCTTAAAAGTGTTTTAAACAGGCTGGGGGGAAAGGAGCATCTCACCACTGACTATGTTGTAGGCACAAGCCAATACATACCTGCAACTCTTATGCAGCAACAGCTCTTACACTGTAGTCTTGGATGTAATGGATGACTTCGCTGTGATGTGTGTGTGGGGCTACTGCAGCTGCTGGTACAAAACCACCTTCTACCAGCAACAACAAATGCCAGTCCTACCATTAGACAGAGTGAGCCATCTGCCTCAGGTAGCAGATTCACAGGGGTGGAAAGATGTTCAAAGACAGAGCTGCGTGTCCCAAATATTTTGCCCTGTACACACCTCTAAATTAGAGTGCTGCCTTCTGGTGAGCTGAAAGACATTGTCCTGACTCTAGTGCTACAGTAAGACTCAGTTGCTAGTGGGGTCAGCTTCTTACACAGAATAGGAAGAGGCACCATCTTGCCTTTTGCCTAAGAGGGCAAAATGTCTTGGATTGGCCCTGGCAAAGGGGAAAGATATTTGGAGCTATGTATAAAGGTGCTGAACCTTTGACATATGAGCCAAACCTGGCCATGGACAAACCTAATTGAGAATTCCTTAGATGGCCACCCCTTTCTATCCAGCCACTGACCATTCAATGGTTTCTAGCTGTTGCACAGGTTTTCCTCTGCATTCTAACTTGTTTCTTACAATAAGAAATTTAAGCTAAAATATGATGGCAATTTTGATATTCTGGCCCTTCCCCTTTTCCCTTTGGCAACACCCACCATTGGAATGTAGCCTGCAAGAGCTTCTCCAAAATGGAATTTGGCCTTTGGGATGAAAGAGTTTTGACACCCATGGCATACAAGCTGGAGAAAAGGGGAACCAAGGCTTAGGAATCTGAAATGGGGCACAGGCAAAACAGGGACACAAATGGGAAAATAAACAAAAGCAAAGAAGCAGCTGAGTTGGGAATCAGAACAATAATGAGGAAGGAAGGGAGAGCTGGGAAGGGTAGAAGAGAAGCCAAGGTGTCAATTGGACATGAATTAGTCCATTTCCTGGCACATGATGGCACTGGGTAATTACAGTCTTCAATACATTTTCATCCTCCTACTTTGCTGCCTTTTAAAAATTTAATAAGCAGTAAGACTTTCCCTCCCCACTTGCCCTAAGCTCAAAATTGCAGTGTTCATCTCTGATTTCATCTCTGTGGCTTCACTAGCTTGGTGTACTCTATAATAGAGAACATCTGAAATCTCAGCCAGACATAGCAATTCCCCTTGGCTCTCCTAAAAACAGGGACAGAACATTTAGAAAAGTGCAGCCCCAGTGTGACTGCCAATGCCCCCAAGAAAAAAGGGAGGTTGCTTATTGTCCCCCTTCACTCAGACTATATCCTGGATTTCTCCTTGGCTTTAGTCGTCTCTTGGCACAACACAACTGTAAACAGCAGTAGGTCCTGATGCACTTAATAAGCACTAACAGCTTCCTGCTATGGAAAATCCAATTCCACAGCTCTTCCAGATAGCAGTTTCCCCATATTCCTGAATCAATTGGAAAGCACTCCAGAAAAGTATAGGCACCATTTCTCCCAGGAGAGCCTCACTGTGTGTCTGAGAGGGCAGCCACTGACATAACCATAAATGTCAGGGAGGAGAGGACCTAAGATTATTCAGAGGACCAGCCTTGATCCTGTGATTGCAGAGCTAGGACTCCACCCCATCCTGTTCTCCTCACAACCTGCATGGAAAGAACTTCCATGGAGGTTGCAGTTGAGTGAAAGAGGCAGGAAGGGGAAGACCTGATTCCTACTGGCATCCCAGCATCCTCCCTCATGCCAAAACAGCTGTCTAGATAAAAATTAGAGAGTGGGACAGTTGTGGGTAGAAGCCACTGCTGCACCCCATTTGAGGCATACGATGCACATAAGCCTCCAAGTCTGGGCACTGACATGCTCTGAGGGCAGGAATAATAGGACTACACTCCATACAGATTAAAAACAACACTCAGATTAGTCTGTATAAGAGATCAACACAATGTCTTACATGTGGCATGTAGGGTCAGGGTGAATAGCTGAGGTGAAGAAAAGCCTTCCCCACCACACACACACACACACACGGTGCTTTCCAAATGCATTGGACCAAAGCCCCTCTAATTCCTAGCTACCAGTTGGAGATTATAGGCATTACAGTCCCACACATCTTGAAGGCATGAGGGTGGGGAAGGATGATCTAGTGAACCAAGGGCTACTTAGTGAAGAAGTCAGTTCCCAAAGCGACATTTAGTTATTTTTGCAAAATAGAGGAAATGGTGACAATGTTTAGGAACCAATCTGGGGGAAAGAAAAGATGGAGGTCTGAGCAGTATTTATTTATTTAGAAAATGTGTAGGCCATCCATTACTGTCATCTCTGGACGGCTTACAACAATATTTCAATCCTAAATAAAATAAGTTAACTGTTCCACACTGAGCATGAAACTAATCCATTTAAAAATAACTTAAATAAATCTAACACAATTAAAATCACTATATGTTAAAATATTGGTCAAATAAAAAGGTCTTGACCTGGCGCCGAAAAGCATATAATGATGGCGCCAGACAGAGCTCTCTCAGTAGAGGAAGAGGTGTGTTTCCGTTGGGGAGCTTTGGTTTCTGACTGCTTCCACTGCCTGCTCAGTTGCAGTTATAGACATATGTAAATAATAGCTCTGGACTGAGGAGCATTCCTCATAGTCAACAGTTGAAGAGTAATCAGTTGAGGAAGCCAAGTTAGAAATGGCATTAATAGGTGCATCTTTTTTAGAGTGAATAGCAACCCCAGAGTAGACTGAGCAACTTGGGACCATGGGCTGCATGGAGGTGTCTAGCTAGTTCTCTCTTTGCCAAGACCTCAAGAAAAAATAATTTCTCTGGGGCTGCTATTTACATTTCTTCAAAAACTCTCCTTGGTACAATTTATCTCATGTCTAGTTGGCCTTAGTTGGGAAGCAACAAAGTAAGGACTAAACAGAATAAAAAGAGGTCATAGCCTGGTTCTACAAACAGCATGGGAGGAGAAACCTGATTCCTGCCTTCTCTACTAACCCAGACACTGATTGGTATCAGAGTTGAATCTTTCAGATATCAGAAGCTACTGACACCTGCATTTCTGCAGGCCTGTGGCAGAGAATAATAGGATGAATGGCAGAGAAAATGAAGATGTGTTGGACTACAACTCCTACAGGCCTAGAGCATCATAACTAATGGCCACAGCTGAGGGTGATTGGTACTGTAGTCTAGCACAACTGGAGGGCACCAGGTTGGGAAAGGCTGAATTAGAACATCTTGCCATCCTCAGCGGGCATGGAAGCATTTTGTTTGTTTGTTTCCTGGAGTTTCAGGCAACTGGAATATTTTGCAACCAGCACCTTTGATTTACATTCCTTTGACAGGGACTTTTGCTCTTCACCAATCAAAATCTACAGGTTAAAGCAGAGGAAAGCTAAATTCTCCAACAAACTTCAAATATTTTCTGGTACAAACAGGCACAGTTTATCAATTTGATGATGCAAAGCAATGTATATTTCTCTAAAATGATCCAGGAATACTTTGTGGCTTGCTGCCTTCCAGTCTCAAGAAATATAACTTTAAATGTCTAAAACCAAGCAGCAATAGAAGAGATCTTTTGCAGCTTCCACTTGGAAAGAGACAGTACGTGCACAGACATGGAAAACAAAAATAAGTATGAAGCAGAAAGCCCACTACACCCATGGAAAGAGATATACTCATTTAATCTTGAGAAAACAGTTGTAACACAAAACATCATGATAATTCCAAGCCTTTTCCTTGACTCAGACATTGGTCATTAGTATCACCCCATGGGTAAAGACCTTTTTATTTAAACATCATTTCAATTGTTAAAACATATGATCTGGCCAGGGCAACTTCTTCTTCCTTCTCTTTCTCCTCCTATATTTTTATTTTATACTGATAATTTTAATTTTATATTTGTAAATCAATGTATTTTTTGTATTTTTGTATTTAATGGTAATTTATTATGTTCTATTGTATTTCAATGTATTTTATCATGTTGTAAGCCGCCCCGAGGTTTCGGCAAGGGGCGGCATAGAAATGTTATAGTAGTAGTAGTAGTAATAATAATAATAATAATAATAATAATAATAATAATAATGGGAAAGCAGAACATGTCCCTATTGTGTTCTGCAGGGGTGGATGGAAAAAAGATCTCTAGATGCTTTGGACTTCACCCTTCAGCATTCCTAACCATTGGCCAAGCTGGCAGGGCTTCAGGAATGTGAAGTCCAAGCCAGCTGGCAATGGACCTTCTGCCCACCCCGGCACAGCGTACATGGGTTTCTAGGCAGGTGGCAGGATCACAGGCACCACTGACGAGCTATGCTTACAGCCTTGAGAGCTTCATCTCTTCTTGCTGCAAGCAGCCAAATGTTGCCACTATGGCTTGCCTCTTCTCCAGAATCTGCAGGCACTCTGTTTTCAGGGTCTCACTGGAAAGAGAAAATACCACAATTTCTGATCTATTCCTGCTTCATGTCACTTGCCCAGTCCTGCGTTCCTGCATATACAGTAATAGGTCCACCTTCTCCACCCTGCTGCTCTTTAAATGGAGATTCTCTTCAGTTGAAACTGGAAAAGCTAACTGCACCAGCACCTCTCAAAAAAGTAGAGAGAAACCACGTGGATGTTGTTCCTCTGCGTAATACATGGCAATGAGTGTGGAGGTAGTTTGGTTTTGTTTTTTTCCAATTAGGACTATGGTGCAGGGAGAGGAATTAAGCACCTCAGACCTCTGCTGACACCTCCAAACTATGGTAGTCCCCAACAGTTGCATTTCAGACGAAAACGAGGAAAAGATGTTAGGTGATCCAATCACAGACCTCCCTCATTTAAACCTTAGGGTTTTTTTTTTTAAAGCAGCAGTCAGGGAGGGATACATTTAGGAAAAGCGATAGCCTGTGGATTTATCCAGCCCTTACAGCTGGTTATCAATTTGCTGTTGGACTGGGAAGATGGCTGGAGAGTAGCAGCGGGGTGCCAGCCTTTCCCTGGGCTCAGAAAAGAAGGGGAGGGATGCTTCAGCTCTTGAGGGGGTTGGTCCAAAGATGAAAGCGATGCCCAGCCACCCTTGCAATGTGCTGCTCTGTGTTGTTCCCTACAGTCACGCTACAGCTGGTGGGAATGTATTTTTCCCAAACAACACGTGTCAGTACAGTTTACACTCCAGGGTAGACAGCTGGCCATTGCTGCTTTAGAGCCTTGCTAAGTAACATGAAGGCGATTATAATTCTAAACCTATTCATCTAGAGTAGGGCTGGGCAACCTGTGACCCTGAAGTTTTACCTTCAAGCTTCCATCAGTCCTAGTCAGCAGAGTCAATAGCGAGGAATCATGGGAGCTGTATGCCAATATACCTGCAAGGTCACAAGTCACCCAGTGCTGGGCTAAAGGCTTTTCTGTAATGTAAACTGAACACTTTTGTAGAAGTTTATGGACAAGAGTAGAAGAGTGCTTCTGGATGGACGGCTCCAAATGCTGCCCATAAAAAGGCACTGTACAACTCTTCCATTTTTTCTATCTTACTGGATTATCCACAGTAAAGGAAAAGATTGAAGAAGCAGTGGGAGAACATGGGAGGGTGACAAGTTGAACATGAAATTGTCTGGACCCCTTGTAATACCCTATGAATAAAGTAGAGTAATGGCACAATAAAAACCTTGTCTTGAAGCATGTTTAGAGTGCCTTGGAGCTTATCAATAGTTAACTGGATTCTCCATAAAATGTACAAAATGTTTCTAGCCTATAAATCAAGCCTGTTTCCTCCAGCTACTGCATCAGCTACTGCATCCCACATTAGCCACATGATGGTCTTTGCACCTCATGTTGACATTTTATCTTCAGAAAATAACTCCTGACATGTGGAAAGTGTGACAGCCCAAACCTCTGTATTCATCTACGTACAACCTCAAACTGCAATTTTGCACGCAGCTAGAATATTCAAGTCTATGCATTTCTGCATGAACATACTCATCACTCCATTTTCCGTATTAGTCAACTGTTTATTCTTGCAATGTGAAGCAAATTCACAATATTCCACTGGCAAAACTGGAAACAAGTTATTTTGAAAAAAAAGAAAAGAAAACATGGAGAAAAAAACATGGAAACAGACTTATCATGTGAAATTAATATTACATGTGTCCTGAACCAGGAAGCAACTGTCCAGGTTAGGAAAGCAGTTGTAAAGATTTGCCTTTTCAGGGTACAACAGGCAATGTGGCACAAGACCTACAGACAGTCATGAAAATGCCTGTGCAGATGTTGTTTCAGAAGACTAGGAGAAAGTAAAATTACCTGATTTCAAGCCCAAGGCAATTCAACCAGCTATAACAAAATCCTGTTTACAAAGCACCAGTATTTCACTTACCTCACCCAGTACAGGCCACTAAGGAGGAGCTCCTGGCATTGCAAAAATGATTGAGATATCCTTAGTGTTTGGTAAGTTGCAGTCAGAACACCCTGGAGAATAAACAAAGTGCACCTATGACTGTCCTGCATGCGGGGATGTTGAATACTCAGATTGCATGTAGGTTTGCTACCTTTGGCTGAAAGATTAATAGCCCTATACACTTATACATTCTTTCACACACATATGGAGGGTGGGATGCCATCTACATAACACACGAGCACTACATGAAGGGGAGAATGTGGAAGATCAGGAACAAACATGTTGCTGAGAATGAAAGACCCCTGGAAAGGAAAGGGATTGGGCAGCTAGCATGGGAAATTCTCCTCCTGCCTGTCCGAGGCCAGACCAGTAGCAGAATCAGTAGCAGAGAGGAGCTGCGGGAGCATGATGTTTTGGATGAAAGCTAGTGGAGTAGGGCAGAAACACAGCTGAAGCAGGAGGGAATGTCCTACCCTGGGAGTCCCTTTCAGCTTTCCTGCTCCACCCTTTGATCCCAGTTTTCTGTTTTCCACGTCTCTGGGAACTGCGCTTTCTCCTCTACTGGGAGAAGGGGAGATCAGATCAAGCTCTTCATGTTTAATATCCATGATTCCATACTAAATAAAATTCAGGTTCCCTATGTCACTCAGTTATGTTCTGCTCATCTTTTATTTCAGTATAAACAATTTGTTTATATTTGTTTGGAGCTTAGTAGTCATGAAGCCATAACAACACATGGCAAAATTTAATTTGCACTGATGTGGAGTTACTACTGCCACATTCATTGCTTGCCCACTGTGGAGAACATACATTCCATGCAGCTACTGCTAACAGGATCTGACCCTAAGGAACTGCAAGCCAATGAAATCATTTCCAAATCCTCACCACAGTCTTTCTTTGCACACATTTTCCCTTGTGATTATGACAGACATCATTCTGCAACCACAAACAAAGAAGCACCTTTCACTGCAACAGCTGCCGCAGGTGTTTTATTCCTCATCCGTAATAGTGCAGTGGTGACTGGTGCAGTGAGAGCAAGGCTTCCAAGCATGCCATCCTGCAGGGGCAGCTTCTTTCGGAAGGAGGGGTTCTGATCCCCTCCCTTTGGAACAAGCACAAGCCTGAAGCAAGTACAGGGAAACCCAGTTTGGACGGCTCTGAAGAGACTCATTCAGGGGCAAAGGGCAATCTACCAGCCACAGTAATTACAGGAATACTCCAAAGACATAGGCAGTGTACCTCTTAAAATTAGAGGCAGGGAACAGATAAGAAGTGAAGGATGCAGTGTTCATATTCTACTTCCTGTCTATGAGCACTTTTGGAAGCTACATCAATAGATGCTATGTATTTTTTGCTTGAAATATTATTTCCCTTGAAGAAGCAGACTCTTTCAAGGCAGCTTCCACAGCCTGACACAATCATGCAATTACATGCACAATTAACCATTAATAAAAAACTGCTAAAATTAAAGTGTTTTGATATGTCTTTTAGGTAAGACTTTTGCCTTGATCCATCAAGGTGCTTACCCTGGCTGTTAAAACTCCAAGCCACTTGGGGCCTGATTACCGAAATCAACCCTAGCCAGCACAGTCAACAGTTAGGGATGATGAAAACTGTAAACTCAAATATTTGGAGGGTCACAGGTTATCCCTCCCTGACTAAACATGTCCTCCATATGTGCAAGTCTAAAATCTGTCATCTTCGGAGGTCTTCCTCTGAAGAACCTCCTCCCACATCTGATGCTCTCTGTGTGGTTTATAGCAGTACATAAAACAATGCAATAAAATACAAGAAAACCACCATAGAATCTTATACCCACAGGTGCCCCACACCGTGAAGTAAGATATACCTTTGCTGTACTGCAATCTACAACAACATCAATCTTTGGGAGGAATTTGGGGAACTCCAGAGCTGCTGGAAAAACAAAAGCAAAAGAAGCTAAAGCATAAATGCAAGGTGTAAACTCCCTGTCATTTCAAATCCAGGAAAGGATCCCAGTGTGAAAGACGCCAGACTGCAGCCTTTCCAAAACTGGACATGCTGGCTAGGGATTATCCAACACATCTCAAGGATGCCAGGCTGGGAAAAGCTGCCATTCACTCTGTTGGAAAAGAAATGCTGTGGAGCTACAGTGACATCTAGTGCCAACAGTATGCAATACAGAATATGATTACCTATTTACTGATACTTCTCTATTTTGCTTGTCTTATGGTCATGCCTCCTGCTACAAGGCAGAATGGCATATATGCATATCTATACAATTATAAGTGCATCTCACACACTCCCCTTGTGCTTCTGACGATTGTAGAGAGTGGGCTAGAGCTAGATGTTTTAAAGCAAGGATGGACAGAAGGTAGATCTGGACCAACACGTAGGTTGCAGGGTGATCTGCAGTCTATCATCAAGGGTTTCCGTAAACAACAACGTTTTCATCCACTGCCCCTAAATTAGGCTGGTAGAATCACTTCTGCAGTACCTCAAACTTCACGTCACTTTCTGTTCTGAAGCAGGGCTCAAGACAGGCCAGATGCTGTAGCACCCAGGAGGGCTCCTCGTGAGCAAGCTGTTCTGACTAGCTCTGCCACTGAAGTCTTTTATGATTCAGTCCAGAAGCCACTTCTTAGTATAAAGAAAAAAGCCTTAAAGGGACAGACCTTGGCCTGAAGCCTAGTACTCTTCCCTCTCTCCAAGAACTCCTGCTGGGCATGCTGCTTGCACTCATGCACCAATTCCAGAGGTTTCTGGCATCTCAGCTTGAGGGTCTCAGGTTCCACAGTGGTGCTTAAGCCCAGTCCCTCTCCTGTGGTCACCGCTGGCTCCTCAGCCCTGGAGCCACTGTCCAGGTCACTGCTAGGCTCTGGGGTCATGGCATCAGTAGAGTTAAATCTGTGTATCTGCAGAACACCTTCTCTAATCCCATACAGTAATTAGCTCCACCCTCCAAGGCACTATCTTGCATCTGGTTCTCCCCACCTCTCCCACACCTGCCCTGCCACTATTTTACTCCAGTTGGCAGTTTTCAGTCTTCTAATAAAAACCAAGACAAAATAGTTCCTGTGACTGTGGAGTCAGCCCATGCTTGTTCTAAAGAAAAGGGTATGAGAGACTAGAGGTAACATTGGATCAGTCCCTTGTTAGTCATTCCTTCCCAATTAAGGAGGCAGTCTAACATGGCTATCTTTGCAACTCTTGAAAGCGATGCTGCAAAAATTAAATTGGATATCGGCTCCACATGGGTTACGACTAATGCTATTCAGCCTGTGGTTGAGTAGTGAATCTCCCAGTCCCACCTTTGTGCCATTAAAAAACAGAACTCTGTGCTGAACTCTCTTTGTAGCAATCAAGTATGAATGCATAATTGTGAGCAATTAGCATGAGTAGGCAGAAGGGTACAGAAAGGAGAGTAGATTATGCATACAAGAAACTGGCCAAACTTACGATCTCTGTATCTTAAGCCCACTGGGTCTTCCAGTTCCATGCTCAGCATAATCAGAGGGCTGTTTTCTGTGGTTCTGGGGAAATTATGAGCTTGGAGGTTGGGCTCTAGGTCACATGGGTGACCCTCAAAGAAATATTCCTGGTGATGGGGAGCAATATTTGTTTGACTGAAAACTTGTTCTAAAAATATGGTGGCTCTGCAGAAGACAAAGCAGAAGAATAATGGATCAACTGTTTTCACATACAAGTAAACCAACATCTCTTTTTTATTCAAGGTTAGGAAGGGAAACCCTGTTTAGAATTCCATCTCTAGGGAAGTAGCTTTGTTTTCACCTTCTAGAAAACTAATCAAAATGTTCTGATTACAGTCGGTACTCACGATCTGTAGCTGACTGATTTTTCTGTTCAACTGAGCTTGATGGCATTCTTTCCAATGCCGTTGTAAAAAGAGTTTTTTAAGTTGGATTTTTAATTATGGATTTAATTATTGATGTTGCTTAATTGCACACATTTGGAACCTTTCCACAATGTCATTTTGTACCTCAAGAGCCTAGAAAGCTCTATAGCAGGATATCAATGCAATACATTAAAAAATATTCTCCTGAGAGCTTCACAATCAGGCTATAAAGTTTCAGGATTTTCTCCATCAAGTAGCAGCATTGCATACAGACCCCTACCCCGCAATGCAGAGTGCTGTCATACACTACTTTGGAGATATAGGACTTCAGGTTCCACTCTCAGGTTCCCCAGATGGCCACACTCCCTTCCACAGCCCTCGCCTCCAACAGCAATTATGTGGTGGTTTTCTAGCTGTTGCACTGTTTTCCCCATTCTAAAAGGGCGAAGCGAAATGCCTCTCCTAAGACTAAACAACAGGCAATAAGAGATCTAAAGGACAATGTGTTGGGATTTATGGCCCTGCCACTTTTGCTTATATCTCTGCCCACAATTGGAATATACCCCCACCACAAAATGTCTCTGAAATTGAATTCATCCCTCAGTCTGAGAGAGGTGAAACACCCCTGCACTAACTCTCAGCTGTGGGTGTTCTTCTTTATAAGCCATCTTTACTTTTTCAACTATTTTAAAGCTTCCTGACCAAGCTGTAGTAAAATTCTGACCTGACCATTAAATGAGAAAACCCAGATTCTACAGTCTTCTCTGTCTCAGGGAATGTCTCTTACGTGTTATAGGAGTGAATGTAGACCCGGTGCATGGAGACTTGTGACAGAGAAAAGATGTGGATTATTGTCCTGTGCAAGATGTCATTGGTTTCAGCAAAAAACTGATCAAAGCCCCAGCATTCCTCCTGGTCAGCCTCTAGGATGTTAGCAAGAACAGGGACCAGCTGCCTTTTCAGTCCACTGCAGGAGGCAGAGAAGAAAACCCAGATGTTATTTCTTTCCACTCAACATCTGGAAAAAGGCCAGTTCCGAATGTTACTCCTGCTTTGCGATGTTGTACATCTTTGCTCATTTGCCATCATTGCATCTGAGTGCAGCACTGCAGTCCCCATTTGGTGCATTGTTCGACTGAGGTCAAGCTCATCTGGAACGCACCTCGAAGGAAAGGGCTCTTTTGTGTGCCAGAGCAGTTTATGAGGTGCTCAAACCAGCTAATTTTGTGGATATAATTGACCGCTCTTTTTTTCTAAACTTGTCTGACAAAGTAGCATGATGGAAGAATGCCATTACTCTGTCCAAGCAGAGTGACCACATTAGTTGTATTACAATCCACACTACAGAAACAGACCATAAAACTTGTGTTTCAACACTTCTTATGCCCGATAGGTATGTTTCCCCTATGCAGTTAAAAAAGGAAAAATCTTTGTGTCTGATTAATGGGGACAATGCCACACATGGCACAGGATTCATCCAGGTCACATGATACATGTGGCAACTTTATGGCCATATTCACACAACATGACAAGCCAGGGTATAGGCTGAGTGTGAGTTGTTGTTGAACTGAGGGTTGCTGATGAATCATGAGCTGTGCTGCAAGAAACCAGCTGCACTAACAATCCGTGGCTTGTGAACCACAAGCTACCAATAGTTCACAGCCCAACAATGAACTGGGTTCTCTTTGTAAGTTGTTCATGGTTAATAAACCATGAAGGGTTTTTTTTTTTTTAGCATAACCAGGTTCATACAACACAGTGGCCCAAAAGTAATAACCAACAGTTCAACAACAACCCACACTCAGCCGCTATGCTTCCTGTACTCATGTTCGTCATGTTGTGTGAACTTCAGTATGCACACCAATACCTAATCTAAAACATTTGGGCATGGTCTAAGTTGCCTTACACATGGTTCTCCCTCTCCCCCTTTCTCTCCCTCCCTCCCTCACACCCCTCCAAACACAGAAACGCAGAAAACCACTGGTCCATCTAAGCCCACTGGTAGCAAAGGTTCTCCAGAATTCCAAACAGGACTTTTCCAATACTACCCGCAGATGCTGGGAATGCACTTCTCCAGACTATAGCATCTCCCACTGACACACACTCCACACATTGAAAAAGCATATGAGAGGTTCACAGAACCACGCAGGAATAGTTACTTCGTATGTGGCAGCTGAAGGTGCAAAGAGTGAGGAAGAGCTAGTGCATCTGCCCCAACCTGATGCCTTCCAGATGTGTTGGATTATAACACCCAGCATTCCACAATGACCATGGCTGTCCTAGTTGAAAGTGATGGGGGCTGTAGCCCAACACACTTAGAAGGTACCAGGTCAGGGTAGGCTAAGCTATTGTGTTCATAATCTGAGCTGCCAGAGACCTAGACTGGCCACTGCTGGAAACAGGATGCTGGGTCAGGCCAGAAACAAGAAACTGGGTCAGGCTTTAGCCTCTCCCAGCAGGACTATTTCTAAAGCCTGCTCCAGTTTTATCATCTCCAAGATGCAAATAACATATGCATCTGTGTGTGTGTGTGTACTCAGGTAAGCAAGTGGGTGAAGAAAATAAGAAAGGCTCACACATGTGAGCCAGCCTGAAAAACAGAAGCAGGAGCAGTGCCACAACCCTGTGCATTGTTCTGCAGAAGTGAGTCTCCATGTGTTAAATTTCCCTACCTGGACTGCAACCTAAAGGCATAATCCTATGCAAGTTTAGACAGAAAATATAATGAAACTTCTCAAACTTTGATCATTGGCTTATCCGGTCCCTTCCAACTCACAGAGAAAGCCGGCATGCTATTGGTAGCTCATAGGTCCATGCGATGGGCCCATTTTCTTGATCTTGGGTGCCTGCTATGGCTCCAGAAGGCTTTTCAGTTGTTATTTTGTACCTGTATAAATAACATCCCATCTTTAGGACTCAGCAAAGAACAACAGGATTTTCACCCTTGATTCATGTTAAGTCAGAGTTCCTTTTCCTTCAAGATGCAGAAAACTAGCAGGTGAAGCAGAAATCTATGTCAAGAAAGCAGACAATATACATACATGATTTCCTTGTTTCTGCGAGGTCCCCCAAAGGGGATAAATGGGAGTCTGCCTGTGGCTGCATGGTAAAAGGTTACCCCAATACTCCACAGATCTACGGTCACCCCATATGCCTTCTGTTGGGGCTTCTTCAGGACTGCTCGTTTATACATGTCTGGGTGCTGTTAATGATAGAGTTAAAAACAAAGAAATGCAGCATGTAATTTTTGTTTTTAGATGTGGCCAGCTAAGTAATTAGGACTAATTAATAATCTTCTTCTTTTTAAAAAAACACACAAAAACTCAGACTAAAATTGTGCTAAAATTAGGCCTGCAGCATGTAATCATATCAATAAAAAGGGACCTTTAGTAATTGGGCAGCAGAACCCCCTCCTGAAGTGTTCTTCGTCAGTGAAAGGGTCCAGCATTCCACTTTACTCACAAGATATTCTTCTGTTCCATAAACTGATTCAAATTTTTCATCATCATCCAATTCCCGGGCAGCCCCAAAATCAGTCAGTTTGTAGATACTCTCTCCATCTTCTCCTGTTAGCCTCATGATGTTTCCTGGTTTGATATCTCTGTGGACAATCCCATTCTCACGAAGATGGTTCATCCCTGCCACTAGAAAGGGAATGGAAGGGAAGCAGTGTGCGAAGATTTTCCCTTCTCCATCATCTGTTTTAAAGCACTGAAAGGACAATTCTATACATGTTTAAACAGAAAACATTCTACAACATCCAGCATGCACTAGCCATGGTGTGGGGAGCTCATGATAGTAGGAAAGTGAGACAGAAGGAACACAGAGAGCTGGGCTTGCAGAAGGCATGTGGGCTACACATTGAATTGCCTGCCTGATGCAAAGGTTGCTGATACCACACGGTATCTCAATAGCCTTATAGGCAGAGCAGGGGTGGACTCAGTGGTTGTGGTCCTTGTTGGTACCAATGGAATGGGGAAATGTAGTAAGCCAAATGTAGGTTGTTAGGCAGGAGACTGAAATCCAGGACCTCCAAGGTCACTTTCTCTGAAATGCTACTGGCTCCACGCACAACTGAGGACCTTCAATGTGTGGTATAAACAGGGAAGGTTTCCATTTCTTAGGCACTAATATACAGAAGACTGCTAAAGATCTTAAAAGAGGAAACTTCTAAAAATGATAGAAATGGTTAAGAAGGATTTAAAGAGGGGAATCATGAAGTTTAAATCATGAAGTTCAAAGCACTTGGAGATTACTCAAAAACACTGTAATAGAGGAACAGATGAGATGCACAGTGCAAGTGAGCAAAAGTAGTACAAAGTCCGGGAAATCACCAGCGTGGTTAACAGAAAGAGTCAGGGAAGCTTTTAGGGAGAAGAGAGCTTCCTTCAAAAAAAAAAAAAAAAAAAGGAAGTCTTTACCAAATTAAAAAATGGGGGTGGGGACACAAGTTTTTACAAGGGAGATGCAAGCAGAGAGAGAAGGAGGAAACAGTTTGAGGAGCATTAATGTCAAGGTTTACAATAATTATTTCCATCTATCAAAAGAAAGAAAGCAGTGAAGGAAGCAGCTGAGCCATTGGATGATAATGGAATTAAAGGAACAATAAGGAGGAACAAGGATACTTTTGTCTGAGGAACAAAAATACTGAATGCCCTTTTTCTGTCAGTCTGCACAGCAGAGGATGAAGAGCAGATACCTTTTCCTGAGCTTATTAATTCTGAAAGGGAGCCTGAGGAATTAAGGCAGATAGTACTGACAAAAGATGAAATTTTCCACCTTATTGACCAACTAAAAGTCAGCAAGTCACCCAGTCCAAATGGCATCCATCCCAGAGTTTTCAAAGAACTCAAGCATGAAATTGCTGACCTTTTTACCAAAGTATTTAATATGACCCTGAAATCAGCCCGTGCATCAGAGGACTGGAGAATGGCCAATGTAACACCAGTTTAAAAAAGGGACTCGGGCAGGGAGGGGGTAGAATCTGGGAAATTACAAGCCAGTTACCTTAACATCTGTTATGGGTAAACTGCTGGAAAGCATTATTAAAGATAGAATTAGTAAGCACACAGGGGGACAACCCTTGCTGAAAAAGAATCAGCATGGCTTCCTCAAAGCCATGGCTTCCTCTAATCTATTGGAGTTATTTGAGAGTGTCAAGAGGCAGGCAGACAGGGACAGTCCAGTAGACAGGCTTCTGATGCAGTCCGTCACCAAGCTCCTGAGCAAATTAAGCACCCATGGAATAAAAGGGTGGGGGTGTCCTCTTATAGACCATTAACTGGTAAAATGACAGAAGACAGAAGGTAGAATAAATGGCTATTTATCCCAACAGGGAGATGTCACCAGTAGAGTCCCACAGGGTTCTGTATTGCGACTAATGCTTTCATCTATCCATTAGTGAACTGGATTTAGGTGTAAGTAGTAAAGAGGTCAAGTCTGCTGGTAACAGTAAACTATTCAGAGTGGTTGAAACCAAAATAGATTGTGAGGAGCAAAAACGGGACCTCTCCAAGTGGGCAGCATGGCAAAAGCTGATGCAAGGATAAAGGAATGCATGTTGGGAGAAAAGATCCCACCTGCAATCCGAATTAGCTGGCTGAACAAGACAGGGCTCTTGGGGTAGCAGAGGACAGCTCAGGGAAATGGCAGCCCCGTGTGCAGCTGCTGCGAAGAAGGCAAATGCCATGCAAGGCATATTTAGGAACAGAATAGAAGATTGCAAAAATCTTGTTCCCCTTATACAAAGTAGCACAGCAACACTTAGAATATTATGTTCAGCTCTGTCCAGCTTACTTGAAAAAGGTCATGACTGAATTGTTGCATTGGAAAAATGATCAGGGGGCTGAAGCAACACCTCTATAAGGAGCGGCGACAACAACTGGGAGCTTAGAAAAAGGGTGGGTGAAGGGAGACACGATAGAAGCGCTCCAAATAATGCATGGCGTGGAGGAAGTGGAGAGGGAGAGATTTTGCTCCCCCTCTGATAACACTTGCACCCAGCATCAACCCATGAAGCTGACTGCGGGGAGCTTTGGACAGATAAAAGGAAGTACTTCTTCACACAAGGTGTAACTAAACTATGGAACTCGCTGCCGCAGATGGTGGTGATGGCCACCAATCCGGAGGTCTTTAAAAGGGATTTGAACATATTCATGAAGAAGGAGAGGGCTATCACTGGCTACTAGCCTTGCTGGCTATATGCTACCTCCTTTACCAGAGGTGGCATGCTAGGACAGGAGGAGGTCTTGCACTCATCCTGCTCGAGGGATCCTATGGGCAGCTGGTTTGCCACCATATGTATGGTGTGCTGGGCTAGACGTACCTTTGGCCTCATCCAGCATGGCTTTTCTTATGTTCTTATGCTCTAACTTCGGGCATATGATGCCCAATATATTCGTGATGAGTTCACACAATGCTTAGCCCAGAATATTCACAATGAAGCAGGGAGGGGCCACGCACGGGGCCACACTTTTACAAGCTCTTCTTTTTGATCCCTTGCAGCATCCCTCAAAAAGAATCCCAGGTGGCAGCAGCAACTTGCAAGAGGCGCAGTGTTTGTCAGCGGTTTACCCAGGGGAGATTCCCAACCATGGGATGAGTCAGCAGGGACCCCACATGCAACTGAAACAGTGATAAGCATTTTGTAAAAGGCTCTGTTGAACTTGTGGAGCTCAGCATTTGGCTGGGGCCGTGGAGCAGCCACATTCTGCGCCCTTGCATGAAGTCACCGACCTGCAGACTCCTCGCTCCAGAACCAAGCAGAACTCTGCCACTTACCTACACAGCGCAGCACAATGAGGAACTCAGACTCTGATAAACCAAAGGCATTTTCTGGTTCCTCTAACAGGCCCAGCAGGCTTCCACCGGAGCAGTATTCCATCACTAGTACCTTCTGTTTGCTGCTTTCCTGCTTTCGGATTTAAGGGCGAAAGTTAAATCTCATCAGTAGAGTTGAATTGTTATAGTGAGAACTCAGCTATAGAATATGCCATGGTTCCAAATACCTCATTTTGCCATATTCCTGGCAGCCTTAAGATGCATTTTTAACATGGGTTTAAAAAAAAAAAAAGCGCAGTCAGGCTTTTGGAATGTAAGATGGCCTGCTGCTGAAGGGTTAAAAAAAAAATCTAGGTGGGAGCTATTTGTTTCTCTTATAGCTGATGCTAGTTTTTAACTGGAAGATCAGTGTAGTGGGTGGGACTTAAACCCCTCCCCCCGCCGCCCCAAAGCTACTTTATTTCTCACCAGGGAAATTATGGGTACTCTTTTCTCTGTCAAGCTGAGATTGACAGAGAAAAGCTGAGAAGCTGAGATTGTCAGCAACCTCTAACGTGCAATTCCTGGCTAATGAACAGGACAGGGTTAATTAAAGGGAACAGAGGAGGGAGGGAGAGACAGAGCGAGAGACAGACACTCTTCTCTAAGCAATGTTCAGAAACAGTCTAGAAACCTTCCACCTGAACTTATTTATTGTACAAAATCCTGAACCTCTTTCCAAATTGGAGGACAGAAGGGCAGGCAGAAAGGAAGCAAAGAGAATGCCATGCACACACAAACAAACTGAAGACAAACACACAACCCAGTAACAGGAAGCAACCTTTCTGTGGATGTCTGTGGGTGAGGAGATCTGTGATCCTGTTACACTGATACTCCAAAACACAGTCCCATTAGAGGGTAAGAAATGGACCTTCTTAAAAATAATGGTGTTCTCAAAATAGCACAAAAAATAGCTATTCACCTGGCTTGCACACATACTGTTAAAGAGGTAAATGCCTCATGAAAACAGATTCATGATAAAGCAGACACGGTGCTGTTTCACTGCCCAGGATTACTAATCATGACCCAGACAGAGTGATTTTCCCATCCCCTCATTGCTCATTGTATGCAGCCTGATGAGTAACATCGGTTAGCAATCAAAGCACTCATTCCTAACACTGGAAATTGAATTTAGGGCCTTCTCCATAAAAAGCACATGCTCCACTGCTGAGCAACCCAGGCCCTCCCACAGAGTAGGCTGTGGGACAGGAAATGTCAGAATGCAGTGCTGAAAAGGGCAGGGTTGTGTTACATCCTGGTGTGCCATTTCCAAATGGCTTCAACAAGCAAGCAAATAAAGCACAGTGCAGTTTAGGCAGGACTAAAGTATCAGGATGCTATGTAGGTAGAATGAGCCTGTAAGTAAATGGGGTTGCAGGCAGGAGAGGGCTTGTTTATGCTGCAATCACCATAACTCATTTTAAAGAGAACAGACTTAAAGAGACTTACAATTTCTTCCACAGCAAAGAGTTTGACAATGTTCTGGTGGTTTAACTTCCTTAGTACCTCAAACTCTCTTATCTGCGCTTCTTGAGGTCTCAGGTAACTTGCAGTATTGAAAACTTTGACAGCAACCAGCTCTCCTGATTTCTGGTGGGAAAGAAAAAGAAATGAGAAGAGATCACATTTTGCATGGCATCAGAAATTAAGGAGAAATATACAGCTCCAAATTTGCAGTAGAGAATTTATATAAATTTTTTTCCTGCCTTTCTGGAACCAAAGTCACCTGACAAAGACAAAAACACAATAAAATCCATAATAAGATGGTTTTCAAAGAACCAGAACAGATTAACCCAATCAGCAATAAAGCACAATCAACTCCTACATTTAAAATATGCTAAGACAAGCTGTAAACTTTAAATATATATTGAGTTAGTACATTAGGCCAAAGGCTCATAGAAATAATGAAGTACTTCCTTCCTATTGGCATGGTCTATCTCCTCATATGGCTTCTGCAATTTCAGTGGCATAAGTACAAATTCACCCCAAATCTGAGGTGGTTTGGTCGAGAATCCTGGAGTCACACAGAGAGCCACTTGCCGTGTAGTGCCACTTCCCCGTGATTTTGCTCTAACTAGCCATACTCAGCCGTAGACACATGTACAAACTGGGCTCATGTCACATTTTTCTTCAAAGACAACCTAGTCTTTAGGAAACAATTTCACTGCTTCCGAGTGCAATCCTAAGGAACTGACATTCAATAAACAGATGGCTTCAATCTCAGAGCCCGCAATCTAGCCAAGTGACTGCTGGCAAGAGCTGTACAGATCACAAAATCTCTATCCTCTGCTGAAGGAAGGAAGGAAGGAAGGAAGGAAGGAAGGAAGGAAGGAAGGAAGGAAACTAGTTCAGTTAGATGGACCTCTCAGCCCATCTGGCTTGTTCACCAGAGAGTCGGCAGGGACAACAATGGCTTCTCTTCTTCCCTTCCTGTCCCTTGTCTCCCACTCTGATGTCTGCTAAGGTCCCATTGAAACCTTGGAACAGAATTCACAGGGGGAAAACTCATGATCAGATCTCCCCCAAGGCCATCATAGCTTTGTCTATGGCCATGGAAGAGGAGATCTCCTCCATTTTATGGCTCTCCAGCAGCCTTCTGGGAGCCATAGGGTTGCTCTGCCTGTTTCTTATGCAGGCCATTCATGTCTGAAATAGCCACCACAATGCATTCCTGAGAATTACCTGCTGATAAGAGAAAACTAAGAATCTCTCAGTTGTTCACAGGAAACACCACTGGTACAAAAGAAAGTTCCTCATCAGCACCTCAGAGAAGCACCTTCCATATTCTAAAACCCAGCTTGGATTTTATTTGTGGGGCACCCAAGCTCTCAGTTCAGAACCTGGCTGCAACAGCTGATCTCATTTTGGGATCTGACCCTGACGCCTTTCTCTCCTTAGCTAGTAATCATGTAATTATGCCTTGGATACTTTATCCTGGGCTATCAGCTAAAATTCTACTTTCTATTATTTAAAGTCAATATTTCAGAAAAGCATTTATGGCTTTAGGACAATAATTTTATATTTCAGCCGCAAAACCCTTTTTTGACCAGGATGCCCATTTTCTCCTCTTGTGATTCGTTTATGCAGTAAAATGTCTAACAAACTAAGGGCATGATCCTGTGCACATTTAGCCAGAGAAAGGGCCTACAATGCCCAGCACATCCCAGCCAGCTGGAAACTGTAGGCCCATTCTTTGTCTTAACAGGCACAGGACTGTCTTAAATGTATCAGTCCATGCACAGGGGGCCCCATTCAACACACGGCTCCTTACCTTGTTGCGGGCTTTGTACACACTGGCAGTGGCACCTTGACCCAGCACATCATCCATTTTCCAGAGATAGCTCAGTGTGCTTTGCATGGTCAGAAGGAAGATGGTCTGCTTCCTGGTTGCAAGAAAAGTGGAGGCAAGCAGCAAATGCCACTAGCTGGAATGAGCCAAGCTTGGTCAGATCTTTCATCAACGGAGGGAAGTCTCCTTTCACTTCTGATGAATGAACCCCAAAACTAGGGCAGTCACCTTCTTTACAATTTAAAGGACTTCACACCTGTGGAACAAATAAGATGCAGTGAGAGTGGTGGCAAAAATAACTTTGGATAAAGGACACTGAATAAAGCTTAGACACTGCTAGATTATTATTAACACTGCTAGACAATGTTTCTTCCAAAAATATTATTTGTATTTCAAATGTCCCCAGTTCTGATTTCTAAAAGACTATTGCTGATTTTATTTGTTTTTAATTGTTTTAAGTGCCCCTGGGTTCTAGTCCCCAATTGGTTATGAAGCTCACTGAGTTTTAGGCCAGTCGCTTACTCTCAGCTTGACTTACCTTATAGGACTGTTGTGAGGATAAAAGAAAGAAGAGGAAAACCTTGTAAGCCACTTTGGGTTCCTTGCAAGAGGAGGAAAGGCAGGGTATAAAAGTAAAATAATGGAAAAGAATCACGTATTTCACCTTGAGCCCCCTGGAGGGCAGGCAGGATATGAATTGTTACATAGAGCCAGTGTGGTGTAGTGGTTAAGAGCATGGGACTGGGACTCAGAGGATCTGGGTTCTAGTCCCTGCTCAGCCATGGAGCCAACTGGTGACTTTGGGCCAGTCACAGACTCTCAGCCCAGCCTACCTCACAGGGTGGTTGTTGTGGGGATAAGATGGAGGAGGAGATGTAAGCTGCCTTGAGTCCTTTGTTGGAAAATGGCAGGATATAAACCGAAAAATAAATAAATAATTGTAAATGTAACAAGAAGGGAATTTAAAGTGGCTTACAACAAACTTAATAACACCAAATATACAGAATGCAATATAATTACCATTGGAAAATACCAACACCATATAACCAAGCAACTAAGTGAGAAAACAAAGAAGGGAAAACAGCCTTAATTGACATAAACTGGTGGACAGTTTAATACATGAACAAAGACTGAGAGGAGTCACCTTAAGACTTAGCAGGAAAGTGAAACTTATTTGAGGATCAAGCTGTTCCATGTTCTTTCTTAGCAAGAAGGTTGGTTTTTGAAGGTGTGTAGTGGATGCAAATAGAGAGGCAGAACAAATACTTGTTTGAACACACAGAAAGCAGTTTGTGTAAGCAGGTACAGACACTGTTTCCAGATCAGGCTTTTACACTGCCCTCAGCCTGCCTCATTCATTTCTGAATATGGAAGTCTTCTTATCCCCAACAAGTTATCTGTTTAAGTTCTTCCATATACAAAGAGCCAAACTTGCAATGTTGGATGAAAAGCATCTACCACCAGACCTCCAGCTTCATCACAAGCCACAGTCCCTTCCAGAGTATGTAAGCATGCATCTTTCTGTAATTTTAAGAGCACAAGTCCAGGATCCCTTGTGCATAAAGAGGGGTTGATTTCTTTAAAAATACTAAAAGACAATTTTAAAGAAATGTGAGATGGTAGCAAAAACATAATTGTCAAGGCTTCTGGTTGAAGAGGCATCACCCTCTTGCAAGTACAGAAAGTAAAAGGATTGCAAAACAGCAGGTTGAAGAGGAAATGCCAGGCTTCCTGCATACACAAAAGTAAAATTCCCTGAGTTGCAGCATCTGATGGCCAAGATCAAGATTTTACCTCCTGAGTTCCTCTTTAAAATCAGCAGCTGAACTTTCACATGTCACACCAACCAACCCTGGCAATAAGCCACAGGAGGCAGATGGTTCTGTGAAGAACCACAGTATGCCTGGCAGATGGCTGGACTCACCAGGGGTTGTTTACCCCTCTCTCCCCCTTGACACTGCCATGGGCATCCCGGTTGCACCCCACCCCACCCCCACGGCCAGCTTGTTTCCTACACCCTGCTGCCATTGTAAGCTACTTTTGGCTCACCATAGGTTTGCGGGGGGGGGGGGGGGGAGGTTTAGCCTTCACCCTGTCAAGAAACCATGGGGAGCTCAGTCAAAAAATAAAAGCCTTTTGAAAGCATAGCTTTAAGAGTTAGTTGTGAAAACTGACACCCCCTTTTAAAGAGGAGTGGCTTGCATATTTGCATATCCCAAACACCCAGAGTCTCAGGAAGAAGTGGAGAGTGAAAACACCCTCAGGACAGTGCAGCTCCCTGTTCCAAAGATGACCCACCCACTTTTCACAAGCACAGATCCCTTGCATCTTTGATTTGGCTTAATTTGAACCTGTCAAACTGAACCAAAAGTTGGGGGAAGGCTATTTGAACCATCTCTGGGTCAGTGTCCAGCATTGGTACCTATCACACTTTGCTAGTAGGTACCACCCTGGAGCTTGGTCAGGTAAGTGCACCTGTTTTTGACCTTCATAAATCCACAGCTGTCCACCTGCAAAAGACCATATAGTACACAAATATCTGCATAGCTTAGGGGGTTCCAAAGATAATTAAAAATTAGTTCACAACCTCAAGCACCGTCTCCAAGGTGCTGCTTGGGCACTTTGAAGGGGCTGTCAAAATGAGGGTCCTGAAAGCCAACAGTCAATACTGCTTGGGCACGTCTGGAGCAGGTAGCATTAGTGATGGCTGTGGTGATCCTGGCAAGGGCAGCAAAGAATTTTTGCTACAAGCTGCTCACTGGCAGATCTCTGGTATCCAAAAGATGTGGTCAGCTGGTCAGCTTCAGATGACACAACAGCCCATTGTGGGCCCCACATCCCATAGCACAAGCTATGGGTTACCTTGTTGCCCTCAAACAAGCCACCCTGAAGGAAAGAGTCCAGGTTCCCATGACAAGACAACCCATCATGGTTTGTCATGCATGATGGATTGCCCTGTTTGCAAACCCAGTCAGTAATAGCTCAGGCCCTCTTACTACATTTTATCTTTAAGTCAACAAGCATCTTAACACCCATGCCTTGAGATATCTGAAAATGGCATTGAAAAGTCACTGATTTATATTCAATACCATAATCATAAATTATGCAATTTGACATCACCTCATAGTAATGTTTTGTAAGGTGACTGATGCACAGAGCACATTCTGCAACTACCTGTGACAGTTAGGCTTGGCACCCGGGTCCACCACCAGGTCCACCAGGCCTTCATATATGGCCCCTCAGAGCATAGGTAGGCAAGCTGGGGCCCTCCAGGTGTTATTACTTTATTGACTTTCCACCTTAACCAGCAGAGTCAATGGGCAGGTATTATGGGAATTTCAATCCAAAACTTCTGATGAGCATTAGACTGTCTCCCACGGTGTAGAGAATGGGCCACAGTTCTATAGTAGACTCAGTATGCAGAAAGTCCCAGATTCAATCCAGGAACCTACAGGTATGCCCAGGATTGCAACAGGATCTGATTTGAAAGTCTGGAAATCCACAAGTGCACACACAAACACCATATATGCATGTTTAGGTCCCTAGTCACTGGAACTGACCTAGTATATTTGGCCATTGAAACTATCGAGTTTTGGGGGCAAGTGAGGACAAAGTAACATTTGGATCCACATTTAAGTGAGCTCACTTAAAGCCCAGAAGAAGAGCAGTGTCAGGCCTAAGGAATGTTGCCTATTGCTTTGGAAGGCCCCACTCTCCTCACATCTGTCAGAATCTGGCACACTCCCTGACATGTTTAAGAATAATTAGCAAAGAAAAAGAAAAAGGAAAGGGGAAAGGAAAAAACTCAGCTTTATCTAAGAGACAGAGGCAAGCAAGCATTGTGTTTTAGAAGGCTGTGATATAGTTTGTGGAATAGACTTTCATCTGGAATGTTTCCATGGCATCACTTTAGCCAGACTCTCTATTTATTCAATTTGCAGGTCCAAGGAAAGCATTTCCTGAAACACATAAGACCTAGTGTCAATTGTAAACATTCAGCTACCTGATAGCAATATTTTACCATTTCTAACTAATGGCCATAACTCTTGAGAAATTATATCACCCTTCTCAGTCATGTTGGACTACAACACCCATCCATGCCAGTCAATATGACTTAGCTGAGGATGGTGGTGCCTGCAGTCCAGCACAGTGGGAGAGCACCAGATTTGGGAAGGCTGAGTTTTATCCATCCATGAGAACAGAGGTTAAAATTATTTGATCAGTCCACATATACACCAGCAGCATTCCCTTTCTTAGCACCAGTGATCCCTGGCCACGTTGCCTTAGCACACACTGCTAGCTCAGTAAATTGTAGGAATGAAGACTACAAACACAGTTTTGACCAGCGTGAAAAAACCATAGACTTAATTTCTATACCAAATGAATGAGCCAAAAGTCACCTTATGATCTGGTTTGCATGTTGTAACAACGATTGCACATTCATTTCTTAACTATGGCTTGTTGAGAATGCAAACAGGAACCTGTATGCACACTGGCTCTGCCTGCACACCCCCACTGAAATAAACAACCTAGGGACAACATTTCAAGCTAGAACTCTAGGTTGTTGTAGAACAGACAACCCAGAGCTAGAATCCAGAGTTCAGGATTCTGATATCACAAGCAAACCATTTTATCTCAGTGGCAATGAGTGACCAACATGAACACTCACTCCCACGTAGCTTTTCAACAACCTACTGCTTCTTAACCATGGGTTGTTAAGATGAAGAATTAGGTCACATATATGAACCATACATACATTTCCTCTTGGAAATATTGTCATTACATTCTAAAAATCTGGCTCCAAGATTTGCTTTCTTGTAAGTTGATTGCTGGAAGCTAGCTGGCACTTTATAATATTAGTATTTGTTTACAAGTGTATAGGGTTGGCAGAGAGGGAGGGACAGCTTTAAAAATCCTCCAACAAAAGCCACTGCTCACTGATCAGGTCTCCAGGAACACAGCCAGATTCCAAACTCAGCTTTGAAGGCACTAGCTGAGCTCCAGACATCATCACCTACCTTGTAACCCTCTTGTGTTTTTTACCAGTTCTTACGACTTTTTTCTTACCACAAAAGACCATTAAAGGGGGACATAACTAGAAGCCATGGAGGATAACTTGCCTCATGTAACTTTTTGTTGCTATTTTGAATATTGCAACTGTGGCTGGTGGGGTCTCTAGCTTGTCATTACACATGAACCTAGTGGTTGTTGGGGTAGCTGACAAACCCCCAGCAACCCTAAAACAGCCAAAGGGTTTATTTATTTATTTAGGATATTTGTATGCTGTCATTTGCAAGAGCCTCAGGATGGCTTACACAAATAAAATACAAATATCCAACAACATAAATAAACGACCCACTCTGGTTGCAATTAAGATATGATGATAAAATTCAATATTAAAACTTATTAAAATATTGATTAAAAAAAGGTCTTAACCTGGCACCGAAAAACATATAATGACGGCACCAGGTGGACCTCTGTGGGGAGCGCATTCCATAGAGTGTTCTCAGTAGCCTCTTAACCTCCCCAGTAATATACATTCACTGAGGTCACCATGGCTTACCTCCACTGCTGAGTATGCCGGTTGCTTGCTGGCTAGATTTCCCTGATTATTCTTGCTAGGATGGCTTGCTATGTTGTCCCAACCTGGATGGAAAGGCTTGTTGCAATGCCCCCCTCAAACAAACCATGCCACCTGGATCTAGATGGCACAGCCAGGTGCACCAGCAAGGCTGATTAGGGAAATGTGGCTGGCATGTGACAGGCAAACATGGTGGGGTTAACAAGCTGTCCTGTGAATCAGGTAATTGCCTCAAAACTACAGCCTTCTTTTGCCTCCTTTCAAACACAAAACTAGCCTAAGGCCAAGTTCATACAATCATGCAGAGGGATATGACTTGACACATCCAATATCATCTTTAGCAAAGATTGGTGAAAGTGCTGTTCCCACTGAACATTCCACGGACCAGGAAGCAATTATCTAACTATTTGGTTCCACTTGCAACATATAAGCCATAGTTCACCTGACAAAAAATGGACCCAGCCTTACCAGGCCAACTGGTTCTACCAACTTTAGCAGTAGATCTGGTCCAGTAAATGTCCACATGCCACCAGTGTGCCTCACTTTCACAGATCTACTGTAGGTCTCTTCAGTGGATTTATTCACCAAATATACTGTTTTCTGAATGTATTCACTTTGGGAATGGAAATATGAACCAACCAGAATTTTTAGTGTAATGGGTATTTATTTTAATGAACCCAGAAAAGAGTGGATCCCAGGAACCAAGTCTTGAAAAGGCCATTTCACCTGTGCTGGCCCTGCCATTAGGAAAAACGAGGTAGCCACCTCTGACAGCAGAGAGGAACCACCAGCACAGTGTTGGAGGTCAGAACAGCACGCACTGCACAGCTTGCCCTGAACTTCCAGGCTAGCTTGTCCTTCAGCGCAGTGCCCCATCATCACTGCTGGAGTAGCTTTCATCTGCCAGTCCCACCTTCGCTACCTGGAATAGGGTTCAGTGTGGAGGTTCCATCTTGTTCTTTTCCTCATGCAGCAAAGCATCTTGGGCCGATCCTGTATCTGCATGCTAGAATGCGAATTCAGGACTGTATTTAGAATACCTTTAAAGCCCCTTGTGCTAATCCGACAGGACTTCTAGTAACACATATCACAAATGGATGTGATAACGATAAGGTGCATTAGCATCTTTAATTGGATTGAAGCATCTAGCTTCCTCTCCTTGCAGGGACAAGGGCTTCTCAGTCTTAAAGATGGCAAGGGGCTAACCTTCCCCAACTGATGTGCTCCAGATGTTCCGGACTTCAATGCTCACTAACCTCAGCAAGGATCCACGATCAGGAATCCTGGGAGCTGCAGTCCAAAACATCCAGAGCGCACCAGCTTGGGTCAAGAAACTGGAAAATATCGCTATGAAGTTGTTTAGGTTTCCACAGAGAAACGTGAAACTTAAGTTAGCAATCGGTCCATAGCCTCTGAAAATTACCCCAACTTCCCTCTGAATCCCATTACAGAAACTTAACAACTGCCCCCTAATGAACGAACTAACACTAGGATACAATCACTTTTTGCGCAAGGGCACACCCACGCACATACACGGAGGAGGACAATAAACGTTTCAGAATCGGCTTGCGGAAAGGAACAAAGCCACCACGACAGGATACGGTTTGCGCCATACCGCCAGGAAGCGTGCACAAAAGAAAAGAAAAGAAAAGAAAAGAAAAGAAAAGAAAAGAAAAGAAAAGAAAAGAAAAAAGAAAAGAAAAGCCCCCCTTGGCAGATTGTTCGGGGCATCCCCATCGCAAGCCAGCGAAGCAGGCGACGCAGCGGCCGCGCGCGGCGATGGGACGCGCGTGAAGGCGCTCACCTGAGCCCCGGCACTGCTCTCTAGCGCACCGCGAGGGAGGGCGATGCCCGCCGAGGGCACCAGGTGCCCCGAGCGCAGACAGGCGGGCGAGTCGACCGAGCCAGACGCCACTCTCGGGCAACCTGCGCACGATTCATCCAGAAACGTGGAAGCCTGCGCTTGCCGCATCGGCACGACTTCCTGCTTTCTTTTTCTCTTAAAGAGACACGTCGGTTTTCTCGCCCCGTCAGGCAGAACGCGCAGCAGGCCTCCTTTAGCCTCTTTTACCTTCCCTTCCACTTTTTTTTTTTTTAAATGGAGGCTTCGTTTTCACGTACCTTTTGGCTTTCTTTGGTAGTTAAAATAAGCTTAATAGAACGACATGGAAACCAAGTTTTCAACCGCCCTATTCAATTGCAAGGTCGCCAGCTCCTGCACTTAAAAATAAAGTCAGAGGTAATATTTGGGCAGGCAGGCAGGTGACACGCACAAGCTGCCAGTTCACCTTGGGCAGCTTTCTTCAGAAGTCCTGGACTTCAGCTCCCGTTGGCCCCAACCAGTGGTCAAGAATCATGGGAGTTGTAGTGCAAAACTTCTGGAACACTTTGGGTTTGGGAAGAGGACTGACCTATTGCACCTTCTGATTACTCCCCTAGCAACAATATCTAGCAATGAGAGGCAGATATTACATTAGACCCACACAGTCGATGGCACAATCCAAAATGACAGCTTGTGTCACAGTCAGAAAACAGACATTATCCACATCATGCATTAATTTTCATATGAAAGTAGAATTCCCAAATGGGCAAGCATATGCTTAACACACTCCTGCCTATTTGGTTGGGCTCTGAGAAACAACTTGTTTGAGCAAGCTAATGGATTCTTGAGCTCCTTGCCTGTGATCATGAGCACCACTTTACTGTATCATAGGGCCAGTTCTTGTCACCAACAGTGCACACATGGATCATGCAAAAGGCCTCATGTTCAATCCCTACCATCTACAGGAAGGGCTGGGAGAGGTCCCTGCCCAAATACTGCCATATGCTGCATATGAGTAGACAGTGCCAAGGCAGGCAGACTCAAAGAAATCAGCTCTCTGATCTAACATACAAAAGGAAACCTTGTTTGTAGCAGGTATTTGCCAGATCTAGCCTATAAAGTTGCTCTGGGTTTCTTACATGGATGAAGCACGACTTGATGGTAAGCATTTTATGGACGGAGCTTTCCCACAGAGGGGGAAAGGGAGACTCCAGAGATAGAGATGGACATTGTGTGAGTGGTCTCCCTCTCCAACCTTACATTCTGGGGGAGTGCCTGTCATGGAATTGGGAGGGGCTTTGAATCCAGCTAAAGCAAAACCTCTCCAAATCTACCAGTTGCCAATGCCTTTTTAAATTTTATTTGCTAATACTGCTATTGAAGCATTGATGGGTAGATAGCAAGCACAGCAGAAGTTTCTGGGCCTACAGTCTGGATGTTTGAGCTGACAGACATCTTCCTCCAAACATGAACTTCTGCAAATAAAAGAGAAGATTTGCTATATCCTATGATTTTTCCAAAAGGTCAGAAGACTGTGGGCTTAACTTATTTATTGTGTAATATTTCACACATTTAGACTATTCCCAGCATTCTTCAGCCAGTTATGCATATGATTGTGCCCTTGGTTCATAATTTGGGGATCTATATCCTGCCCTTCAAATACATTCCCAGGTTAGGTTAGCTTGCAATATTAAATACAGAACACAGTGAAAATCATTATACTGTCTTGATCTTATGCCCTTGATCCCCCTCCCCTGATTCAGAGCAGCAGGATTCAACTAGTAGTTTAAATCTCATAGTGATAAAATAGTCAATATTAAAATACTTTTAAAAAGCACTTGACACTGAAATTATGTCACAGTAATTGACCAAGTAGCTTGCCTGGGGACAGCAGGGTGCCACTGCAGAGAGGGTCTTTTACAGTAATAACATGCCACAACTTAGATGATACATTTAGAAACACACAGTTAAAGGCTGCTGATTCAGATCTTTGTGGAGAGCCAGGAACAGGCTATCATTTTAGGTACTCTGCTCCCAAGTTGTGAAAGTCTTTAAGCCAGCAATGTAAATTGAGCATGAAAATGGCAGTGCAATCAGCAAAGTACCAATGTAATATGATCGGAATACCCAGTCACACATAGCAATCTTGTGGCTGTAGTTTGAACTAACTGCAATTTCTGAACCATCTCACTCAAGATTGGCAAGAATGCCTGCCTCGCTGGACTTCTAGTTATTTCTGAGTTGTTCTGAGCGTTTCAAAGCAAGATATGGATAGAGGAGGGGATGGTGGGCAAGAGGAAGACAGACCCTCCCCTAAGGATCACAAGGAAATAGATTGAAAATTAAACTACCAGCATTATAATGTCTCTGTACAAATCTGTGGTGTACAGTCCTTGTTGTCACAACCTGGATGGGTGGATGGATGGATGGATGGATGGAAAACTGAAAGTGGTCCTTGAAAGGGTGACCAAAATTCTCATAGAGAAGAGGCTAGAACAACTTCTCTACAAAAGAAGGCTATATCCTTTGAGACCGTATAGTATTTTTTAAAAAAACAAAGTTATTAGCAGCTTTAAAAAAAAAAAAATTAAGGCAGAGACATGAAGTTGTTACGGTGCTGTCAAGTCATCTGTCTTGTGGGGGCCAAATGAAGGACAGGGGTCCTGTGTCCTTCACAGACCTGCTCCACTCGTGTAAACTCAAGGTGGCAGCTTTATGGTATTTATCCATTCCATAGTTGATCTTCCCCCTCTTCTTCTGCCTCCGACTTTCCCTGGCATTATTGTTTTCTCCAGTGAGCCTTGCCTTGAAGTACAACTGCTGCAGTTTTGTCATTTTTGCTTCCAGGGAAAGTTCTAGTTTGATTCTAATTCTAGGACCCATTTGTTCATCTTTCTGTTGGCCCAGGATAGTTGCAAAACTCTGCTCTAACACTATGAACAGAGGTATTTTTTTCTTCCTTCTCTCATAGTACTAGATCATCAGCGAACAATACATATTGGAAAAAAGATCAGGATAGACGACTTTATAGTTAACCTTATAGTTAACCTATGGAATTCACTGCCACAAGATGAGCAATAAAGTAGAAAACTTTAAAAAGGGATTTCCCGTGTAAGAGAACAATGGCTTCATGCAGCCTCCAGTTCAGAGGCACCATGCAATTCGTTGGTCACATTTAGAAAAAGGATGCTGGGAGCTTTAGGTTTTTTTCTGTCTAACTTGCATAGGATAGCATTCTAAATGGACCATTGATATGATTAAGCAATATTCTTCTTATGTACTTCCAGGATGCAAGAGAGAACTGAGGAAGTGCTTCACTTCTGCTGAAGAGCAAAGTTGCTTATTGTTAGTCTCAGACATTACAAGATCGCTGCCTGTCTGGAACTTTCTCGTTTGGTTACTTTGACAGCCAAAAGAAAAAGAAAAAAAAGCATAGCATGATATCTGTCTCATCTGCCTGGGAATTCTCAGGGTCCCTGTCACTGGATACCAGATTGACTAAGTCATGTCCAGACATCATGCCTGAAGAATTATAAACATGACCTTGCAGGGCTGGCAGAGTGAATCTCCTGCCCAGGCAGTGAATCAGGGGGGAAGGTAGATCAGCCATGTTCACATGTTGCATCATGGGCTCTCCAGAAGTGAGAGGTCACATGTGCATTCCTTGGAAAGACTCTCCACGTGACCCCTCACTTTGGGAGAAAGCACTGAGTGAGATACTGGGCAGCTGGGCTCCCTTGAGCACCTGCCTCCTAACATCTTGAACAAGAATAGCCTCTCTGGAGAGCCATTTGAGCAGCACAGAGTGGCCAACATTTCCAACCACCTTACCAAGCTCTCACTAGGGACTGGGGAGGACGCCTCAAAGTACATCACTTGGGCCTGGGCAGCTCCCTCCACACAGCAGGCTGTCCATTCAATCTCCCACTAGAAGGGAAAGGGAGATGGTGTCAGCATCTGCTGCAGTGGAGTGGTTACAGTGTATGTCCTCCCATCTCAGGTGGCCAGACATCTTGTGCAGCTACTGTGATCATGTATAAAAGCAGAACTGGGGAAGGTGTGGCCCCCCAGGTGTCCATTGGGATGCAACTCCCATTATACCCTCGGCTATGCTGAGAGAAGCTGCAGTGCAAATTATCTGGAGGGCCGCCTGTTCCTGATGCCTGCATAAGAAAAGCAGGTGCCAGTTCCAGCTCTGGTGTCCTTGGCTCCCTGTGTTAAACGGAAAGCCCTGCAGGGCGTTTCTACCACTTTCAGGAATCCGGCTTCATCTTGGTTTTGAATTAAACAAAGGATTTATGCTCACTGAAGTATGAATAGAAGCCCCCTGTAGACCCCCTTACTCACTATGGAGCGGCTGCACATGTGAGGATGCTGCTGGGCACAGTGCACACAGCCCGATGCTTCTTAGTTTTGCTTTTGTAACACATGGAAAAGGACATGCAGATACTGGTGACAACTTTTGTTGAGAGACTGAACACTGGCTCCACTGAGCCAAACATTCAACCCATATTTGGACGGGATTCCAGGAGGGTGTTTCCAGATCCTGGCAAGCTGTGGGAGGGGTCAGGATGAGGAGCCAAGGTCCTTTGCCTCGAGCCTTTTCTTGTTTCCTGTCAATTGGGTTTGTTCCTGTATTTCATTTTCCCTTTCTTCAGCTGCAGTGTTTAACAATGCCTGATCTTGGATATTCTAATTGTCACCAGAACAATGGGACTTTAATTAATACTTATAGTACCAATGCGGGGGTTGGGGATTTATGCTTGTTTATTTTAGGAAAATTTATATTTTGCTATATGTTTTAAGGAAAACCAGAAGAAATGCTGCCCTAAAGACCCCACAAGGTGGCAGCTTTGCTTCATACATTGCCCCAGTCACCAAAAGCCTGGGAAATTGACAGGGAAGAAAATAAATCTCTGGGTGTGGACTTAATTTATATATATAAAATGGAGTGAAACTGGGGATAGAAATAAAACCACAGAGTCAACAGTGTGGATCACCCACACCAAGGGAAGATGACTGAACGAGAAAGGCCTCCTTTTCTGAGCATTATCGCACCACCAAGAGGCAATCAGCACTGAACCAAACAGTGTACCA